GCCTTGGGCTCGAGTTTCGCCAGTCGAAACTCTAATGGTCGCGGCCGCTGCAACCAGGGTTGCCACAAGCTTAGAGCTCACGACTATGGCGGCCGTGAGGGACCCTCATCTCTCTCTCTCTCTCTCTCTTGTTTTGTCTCGTCTCGTTTGATGTGGCGCCTTATTTGCTCATGTTAATTTTGGGCGAATCATAACATGACACGTATATCCCAGCGTCTGTGTCCTTAATTCTGCAATCCATGTGAACAAAAATCCACCAGCAGGAGAAAAGTATAACGGAAGGACTATATGTTGACATCTTTTAAAAAAGTCGAGGGACATCTTTTAACAAAAAAAAAAGAAAGATGGAGGAATGATTTTGATTTTCGAACAAAAATGGAGGAACATCGATGATATTATTCCAATCAGTTGCCCGTTCCTTTGAAGTGGAAATTGCGGCTCACAATCCACCGTAATCATCGCGGATGATGGTGGCCTTTAGGCTAGCGACGACCTTCATAAAACATTTCCCTTTAGGATATGATCGTTTGTGTCACTTGTGTTTCGCCGGATATGCTCCCGCGACGAAATATAATTCACCAAAAGTCGTTATTCGGTTCTTAATAAGAGGAAATCGAGTTCCGTGGTGACTCCGGACGGGAAATATCCAGGAAGACAAGGGAAAATTGCGAACTTGTACTCCGAGCTTCGAACCGGACTGTCTGTACAAATCGTGCCGGAATTCAATCGACGACAAAGCTTGAAAATACAGCCACACACGTACACAAAGATGTAACGCCGAAATTGAATCGACGACGCAACACCCGGGATAGAGATACACGCCGGAATTTAATCGACGACGCGAATCGAAAAGCTACAGCTAAGGAAAAGTAAAGTGCGGTACATAAAAGTAAAGATAATTGAAAGATAACATATTGTTTGATTTGTCGGGAGTGGTCGTCTCCAGTAGATGGCCGGTGATATTTATAATGGTTGTGTGGTAACTGCTCATTAGCGGTTTTCAACAGTTGTGCTCATGTTCTTCCATTCCGAAAATCTTATCTTCATGTCCATGTGACGTCATGATCCTGCTTTCAAGATAACTGTCCTACGATCTTGTTCACAAGTGATAACTGCCTCATGATCATGCTTCCAAGTAATTGTTTCCTCAAAATATACATGTATGCTCCTTAGTGGTTTTCAACAGTTGCGTTGAGTCCACTACCTTGACGGTTTATTCGACTCCACTACGTTGGCGGTTGCTTCGACCTCACTATGTTGACAGTTACTTCTTCGATAGTTGTATTCGAGATTGTCGACTCCACTTTGTGTCGATTCCTTCAAGTTGGCAATTCTTCACTGAAGTATCTATCAATTTCCGTATCCTGATCAGTCATGACCGTCGACTTCCTTTTAACGTCAACAACTCTACAGTGATTTTCTGAGAAAACTTAAAACATAAAAGTTGTAGATCCAGGAGTCTTCGTTCTTTTGGCTTTGGAATAGGTCAATCCGATCTGTCTCGACGAAGTTATGAACATTTTCCTGAGCTAGCGCAGAACCGAAATTTCCTCGAAGAGACGAAGTTATGATCAGTCACGTACGTCGACTTCCTTTTTACGTCGATGTGATTTTCTGAGAAAACTCAAAACATAAAAGTTGTAGATCCAGGAGTCTTCGCTCTTTTGGCTCTGGAATCAGGTCAATCCGATCTGTCTCCACAAAGTTATGACCATTTTCCCGAGCTAGCGCATAATCGAAATTTCCTCGACTAGACGAAGTTATGACCAGTCACGTCCGTCGACTTCCTTTTTACGTCGAGGTGATTTTCTAAGAAAACTCAAAATATAAAAGTCGTAGATCCAGGAGTCTTCATTCTTTTGGCTTTGGAATCAGATCAATCCGATCTGTCTCGATGAAGTTATGACCATTTTTCCGAGCTAGCACAGAACCAAAATTTCCTCGACGAGACGAAGTTATGACCAGTCATGTCCGTCGACTTCCTTTTTACGTTGATGTGATTTTCTGAGAAAACTCAAAACATAAAAGTTGTAGATCCAGGAGTCTTTGTTCTTTTGGATTTAGAGTCAGGTCAATCCGATCTGTCTCAACGAAGTTATGATCATTTTCCCGAGCTAGCGCAGAACTGAAATTTCCTCGACAAAGTTGTGACCAGTCTTGTCAATAATACCCAAAAATTGATCATCTTTGGGTGTAAACATATACACATGACTCATGTCTCTGATATGTGTCTCTTATGTTCGTAACTTGATGATATTTGCTTTCACGTTGCCTCAAGCCTCTGTCAGGTGTCCGTTGATGATGTTTGGTACAAACACTTGTCGACCATGACTGAACTATGTCGACAAGTTGGCCTTTTTTGGTGTAAACAGCTTGTAAAAATAAATGAACGAAAAATATTTTCATTATCGACATAGAAATTTAGGATTAAACTATTGTTGACAATGAAAATAAATTTTATTGACTTATTTTTCTAAGCAATGCGAAAAAAATCATTTTGACAATTGAGCTACGACGGAAGCACAATTACAATTTTAACTCGATTGATTTTTTGACCTATCAAACGTTATTTGCCATGAGGCTCCTCCTGTAGACCTCTTGTTTGACAATAACATGTAGGGCAAAGCTATTTTCACATCACATATGACTAGATCCACCACATTTTCGCTAGAGCTACGAAATTTTCTTTTATTTATTGTAATTGAAACTTAAAGTGATGGACCCCAATTTAAACACTTTCCTTCTCTTTCTAGCTTTTCTAATTTTAATGTAGCATCCGGTTATCGTAATTAAGAATAATAAATTTATGTGGATATAACCATGCACATAAGGAGCCTATCTTTTCTTCTTCTTTTTCACCTCTATCTTTTAATAATATTGTGTAGAAAAATCTTAAAGAATTCTTCACATCGTCAATCAAAGTTCCAGATTAATTGTCATGTAGAAATCTAGAAAAATCTAAACACAAACAACCTTTTCAATTCAAAACTCTGCCTCAAGTAAAAGAAATATTTCGATGCAAACTTAATTTAACTCATTTTGGATTGACAAAGAAAATGCCGAATTTTATTTTTCAAACAATCATATTGTTAAGATGCACATATAAGTTGTGAGAATAGTGACATATCGGAAAATTAGTATGGTGTGAAATAGTTAATTTTATCCTAGTTGAGCTTGAGCTTTTGAGTGAATGGATATGTTGATGGGCTTAGACTTGAGCTTCCTCTTAGCAATCTCCCCGAGAGAAGGTATCAGGTTTTTGTCGCGCGTTCTCTACAAATGCTATGAAAGCCAATGGTTGATTGATGGCATACTCCCAATGCATATTGATATTCAGTAAATATCTCAATTAAGGAATCTAACCAACGCGATTTCCAAACAGTCTTCATGGTTCGGTAGACCTGAAGTGGAGAAAAAGACCAAGGATAAAGTAGGGGCTTGAAGATTCAAGTTGAAAATGTTGATACTAGAAAGATATTCGAATTAAGGAAGAGCAGACCTAACATTGAGCTCACAAGTGAGAGAGAGATCATTGATATGCACGTGCAAATAGTGCTTAAAAAAGTCACACATCGAAAAATTGGTATATAATGAAAAGTAATTAATACATCATAATTGACTCACAACTCTTTGGTTTAAGTTTTTTTTGTGATTATGGTCCAACTAAATATGTTGACAGACTTGAATTTAGGCTCCATCTTGGTAATCTTCCCCGGTGAAGGTATGGGGCTTCTATTGCGCGCTCCCAATTTAAAGGGAACCCACAACAGAGGACAACTAAATTGAGAGAAAATGTATAATTGTGGAATCCACCAAGGGTGTTTTCATCTATCTGGTATAAAAAGGAGTGTATTTAGTCATATAAAGGGTGGAAATAATGTCACCCACAAGAATGGTTAGTGATGCAATATTTGACCACAGTAGAGTTGCAAAGTAAGTTGAATGCTAGTTAATCATGACATTTGAAAGTTCGATAAGTGGGTTTTATTGATAGGTCGGTCAAGTCACCAACGATGCCCTTTATGCCTAACTTCCAACGCACCAATAACAAGGATTGGTGAATGGAGCCTCGACTTTGGACTTTGCAAGTCAGAATATTCTCTTTTCGAGCAAAGCGTCATGCCTTGATCTTGAGATGATGTGCCTCTAGTGACATTCAAAATTACAAAAACTTATGGTAGTTAAGAAATTCATAATCACTTTAAGACTTTATTTGTTTCGCGAAAAATAAATGATTTGAAAGATATTTTTCTAAAAATGATCATTTATGTCGCTTATAAAAAATAACAAATAATTTCATCATCCACGAAAACGTTTAAATATAAATTGTTGTCGGTAATAAAAACAGTTTCCTCGACTATTTATTTTAAGCGATACAAATAATTATTTTTGTTCCGAATCACTTAATTTTCGTAAAACAAACGGAACCTGCATAAGAACTTGTGAAAGGTTTTAATGACAGGCGATTAAAGGTTTATCGAGGAGAAATAATGCAAAAAACGGGTGCCCGAAAGGACTACGTTATAACTTTTCAGAAAGATTTCAGGACTGGACCGTGTTTCTTAAATGGTTTAGATTTTCTAATGATCACCTCTCGTTAATTGAGTAAATATTACGCGGAATGGGTCAAACAGAGGGGAAAAGAAAAAAAAAGGAAACAGAAGAGCGGATGCATGGTCAAGAGTCAAATTTGGCGGGGCTAGACTGCCAGTTTGTCACTTTCTCGTAGGCCTTCTCGTCTGAAGTAAACGCTTGGAAAAAAGAACAGCGCGCACACACAAACCAAGCACCCTGTCTCTGCACCCATGTGAACTGCTCCTTCCTTAACTCTTTTCCATGACTTCAAAACCAAATGAAGTCGGCATGTCAATGAAAGTGAAGTCATGAAAACCCACTTTTATCTTCTTCTTCTTCTTCTTTTTTATCTTTTATAGTTGGTTAAATTTAGCATAAAGTCTACGGACTCGGCGAGTCAAAACTCACGTCGAAATGAGATTGTATATGACTTCACATGTGCATGCTCAGACGATGCGAGAGGTATTCCCGAAAACACTTTGATTAATTTAGTCCCTAGACAAACCAAAAATAAGTAACAAGAAAGCCAAAGCCCTTTGTGCTATAAAACAATTTGATCCAGCTCCTTTCTCATGAAGTCCAGCAGCACCTTGCTAGGCATGACAAAATCAGCTGCGACCCGCCCTCTCTTCCTCTTCCTCTTCCTCTGTCTCCTCTCCTCGCTTCCATTTCTGGCCTCACCGTCACCGACCACGGAGGCACAAGCTCTTGTCAAATGGAAGAACTCCCTCTCTCCTCCTCCTCCTCCTCCTCCTCCACCTTCTCTGAGCTCATGGTCGCTCACCAACATCGCCCGTCTCTGCAACTGGACTGGCGTTGCCTGCAACAATGGCGGGTCAGTCTCAGAGATCGGCCTCTCCGGCTCAAGCCTCAGCGGCACGCTCGATGCGCTCAACTTCACTTCGTTCCCGAACCTGACCCGCTTCGATGTGAGCAACAACAGTCTCGAGGGCCTGATACCGTCCTCGATCGGCAGTCTCTCCAAGCTCAGGTTCTTGGACCTGGGGAGCAATCTCTTTGAAGGTAGCATACCGCCCGAGATAGGCCAATTGCAAGAGATTCGGTACTTGAGCCTCTTGAACAACAGTCTCAATGGTACTATGCCTTACCAGATCAGCAATCTCGGGAAAGTGTGGCACTTGGATCTTGGATCAAACTACTTGAAATCTCCTGACTGGTCGAAATTCTCCGCCATGCCGTCGGTGACTTACCTGAGCCTCTTCCTCAATTCGCTCGATGGCGAATTCCCGGGTTTTGTGGCCGATTGCCAGAACCTGACATACCTCGACCTGTCACAAAACACATTGACCGGCAAAATTCCTGAGGCTGTGTATGCCAACCTGGTGAACCTTGAATATCTCAACCTCACCGCGAATTCACTCCAGGGGCCCATCTCAGACATATCTAAACTTTCCCGGCTGAAGGAGATCCGAATTAGTAACAATCCGTTCGGCGGTCCGATTCCTGGAGACATAGGATTGCTGTCTGAACTTCAGATGATAGAGATGTACAACAATTCCTTTGAAGGGGCAATTCCTAGCTCCATTGGTCAATTGAGAAAGCTTCAAAAGCTTGATTTGGGGACAAACCGCTTGAACTCTTCAATTCCTTCTGAGCTCGGGCTTTGTTCTAACCTCACTGAGTTAGCCCTCGCCGTGAATTCGATCTCCGGGGAGTTGCCTCTCTCTCTGTCCAATCTGGTCAGATTGTCAATATTTGGAGCTTCGGAGAATCGCCTGGCAGGTGAGTTATCGCCTTCCTTCTTCACAAATTGGACCGAACTTGTTTCTTTGCAGCTCCAGAACAATTTTCTCTCCGGGAAAATTCCGCCAGAAATCGGAAGCCTAACCAAGCTCAATTACCTCTACTTGTACCACAATTTGCTCTCCGGTTCAATCCCTTCCGGGATCGGGAGCTTTGAGAATTTGCTTGAGTTAGACCTCTCACAGAACAATCTCTCCGGCCAAATCCCTTCAACATTGTGGAACCTCAGCAACCTGCAGATCCTCCAGCTTTTCTCCAACAACCTCACTGGGACTATTCCTCCGGAGGTTGGGAATCTCACTTCAGTGACCATTATCGACCTCAATACGAACCAGCTTTATGGAGAGGTCCCCGAGACTATCTCTCGCCTTGCTAACTTACAGTCAATCTCTTTGTTCACAAACAATTTCTCGGGAGGCATACCACAGGATTTCGGCAAGTACAGCCCTTCTCTGGGCTATGTTGGCTTTTCAAACAACAGCTTCACCGGAGAACTGCCGCCAGACTTATGCAGCGGCTTTGCTCTTCAATATCTCGCCGTCAATGGGAATAACTTCACCGGGCCGCTGCCCGACTGCTTGAGGAATTGTTCAGGGCTAATGAGAGTCCGTCTAGACAACAATCAGTTCACTGCAGATATCTCGAATGCGTTTGGAGTTTATCCGAATCTGGGCTTTATAAGCCTCAGCAACAATCAATTTGTCGGGAATCTCTCAACAGAACGGGGAGAGTGTACGAATCTCACGAATTTGCAGATAGATGGTAATAAAATCGCCGGCCACATCCCGCCGGAGCTCGGGAAATTGTCTCAGTTGCATGTGCTGACTTTGTACGGCAATGAATTGACCGGGGAGATTCCCAACGAGATGGGAAATCTAGGGGAGTTGCTCAACCTGAATTTGAGCAACAACCATCTGACTGGAGATATTCCCATCTCGTTAGGAAACTTATCGAAGCTCAATCTTCTTGATTTGTCAGAGAACGCAGTGAGCGGTAGCATACCGAACGAGCTAGCGAATTGCAAGAATTTACTGAGCTTGAACTTGAGCAACAACAATCTGTCGGGTGTCATATCGCCAGAGCTCGGGAACTTGTACACGCTACAGAACTTCCTAGACCTGAGCCACAATTCACTAGCAGGATCAATTCCTTCCAATCTAGCAAAGCTTACTAAATTGGAAAAGCTCAATCTTTCGCATAACAATTTGTCAGGTACGATCCCCGCTGCTCTCACCAGCATGGTAAGTTTAAGCTCCATAGACTTATCGTACAACCAGCTGACGGGTGCAGTTCCCAGTGGCCTCTTCCAACAAGCACAGGGAAGTGCTTTTATCGGGAATCCGGGCTTGTGTGGAAACGCGACGGGATTATCTCCTTGTGGGGCGAGCAGTAAGTCGACCGACCGAAGGAAAAGGGTTCTGATTGGTGTGATTGTTGGCGTCTGCTGCTTACTACTTCTCGTGACCCTTATTGCTCTGATTCTGGTGCTTCGGCGGCGAAAGGAGCATCTCGATGAAAAGATCAAGAGTCTTATAAAGTATGAGAAATCCGAGACGATCATATGGGAAAGGGGAGCGAAGTTCACATTCAATGACATTGCCAAGGCCACCAATGACTTCAGCGAAGAGTACTGCATCGGAAAAGGTGGGTTCGGGAGCGTTTACAAGGCCGAACTGGCCAGCGGCCAAATCGTTGCTGTCAAAAAGCTCAACGCATTGGAATCGGGCGACGTCCCCATGGTCAACCTCCAGAGTTTCGAGAACGAGATCCGCGTGTTGACCGAGGTCCGGCACCGCAATGTGATCAAGCTCCACGGGTTCTGCTCCAAGAGGGGTAGCATTTACTTGGTCTATGAGTTTGTGGAGAGAGGCAGTGTGGCAAAGGTCTTGCATGGAGGAAAAGGAGCATCTGAACTGGACTGGAGTACAAGAGTGAAGATTGTTCAAGGCGTGGCTCACGCGATCGCCTACCTGCATCACGATTGCTCGCCACCTATCGTCCATCGGGACATCACGCTGAACAACATCTTGCTCGAGTGGGACTTCGAGCCTCGGCTTTCGGATTTCGGGACGGCGAGACTCTTGAATCCAGACACATCGAATTGGACCACAGTGGCTGGATCTTATGGCTACATGGCTCCTGGTAAGTTATATGATCGAATCTAATCATATATTTCGCGGGTACATATGGCCTTGGATTTATCAAATAGCTCTAACTAACATCTCGAATTTGCATTCTTCGTATAATCCTAACAAGACTTTTAGGAAGAGCAGTATAGGTTTTGAAAAATGATTTGTATCAGTGTATCATATAAATTTGGAATTTGGGTATAGCTTGACATTATGGCCATAACATTGATTCATTCTTCTTCTTGGAAAAACAGAATTAGCAGTAACTATGCGGTTGACAGACAAATGCGACGTGTATAGCTTCGGAGTAGTAGCGCTAGAGATTATGATGGGGAAGCATCCAGGGGATCTTCTCTCTTCCCTACAAACAACACAAGCGGCGGAAGACCCAGATTTGCTACTGAAGGACGTGCTCGACCCACGTCTTCCTCCTCCGACCGGCCAACTAGCCGAGGAGGTGGTATCCATTGTCACGGTGGCGCTGGCGTGCACGCAGACGAATCCCGATTCGCGACCCACCATGCGTTTCGTCGCGCAAGAATTATCCGCGCACACTCAAGCTTGCTTGTCCGAGCCCTTAGGCTCCATAACCATCAGCAAGCTATCGAGTTTTCAGAAATAAAACTTCAAGGGATAGCGCAAATCAAATGATATTTCTTTTGTGTTTTCTCCTTCTTCTTCTTCTTCTTCTTCTTCTTTTGTTTGACTTAGCTTGTAATGAAGGAGAAAGAGGGGGGGAGTGTGTACAATGGTGTATATACAAAGACGATAATTTAAAAGAACCCCATCGTAAGGTAGGTGGAACCTTCCGGCCACGAAGTTTGAAGCTGAACGCATGGTGCAGCAACAAGTAGACCTAAATTTTATGACTACTTTTCGGTGTATGCTTCCTTTGACCTTTGACTTTTGCAGCAACTTGGTGTTTTGCAATTTAGCTATCAGCAGACAAAATCAGTAAAGAACCAATATGCATTGCAAAACAAAACGAAATAGCAAACAGAAATTGGTCTCCATCTGACTTTTTAGTTTTGCATTTTGTAGTTCTTAACCCTCGTAAGATTAATAGAAGGGCGTTTCTAGACGATAGCCAAAGCAGTGGTCTAAAAGTGGGAATTTCTGAGATATACATAAGTGATGTGTATCTATGTATGATATCAAATATTGCAAAAATTGTGCCTATTAGGTAGCAACCTAATTAAGCTCAAAATGACAAAATCAATAGCAGAAATGGAAACGAATCAAAAGGGGGAGAAAAATGGATGAAGCAGCCTACCAAGTCCCAATTGCTCTAACGCTTTGAATCGACTTGAACTCATGCCGTTCATATTGTAACGAACGACATAGACTTCAATCCCTAGTGCATTTGACTTTTCCTTTTTTTTCTTCTCTTTTGGGCCTTGTGATGCATTTGATTAGGTAAAAGGAAAATATTTTGTGTGATAAATAAAGATATTTCGTTATAAACATTTTAAGAAAAGCGATATCCTCTTTGCAAGAAAGTCGGTTTGCCCGATCTAAGCTTGTCACTTTCAGTCCCTAAAAAACGTTTTCCAAACACCAGAAAGTCCAAAAACAATTTCTCAAAAACAATCTCCATTCAAACCAATCGACCCTAATGAAAATATTTTTCATGAAAATCATTTTCAAGAAAAATAATTTTCATTTGTTTGATAGTTTAGGGAAATCAATTTCTTTCTTGCTAGAAGTGGAAATCGCTTTCCTCCAATCTAAGCTTCTTATTTTCAATCCATGAAGAACAACTATCGTAAATCGATTAGTTTTCGCCATCCAAACATAGGAAAGTCGAAAAATAATTTCGCGAAAACAGTTTTCCTTCTAACAGACAGTCCCCAAGAGTGCAAAAATTGTCTCTTGATGGAGCATTCCCATGTGATGAGAGAAAATCAACCTTTCTGTGAAATTTTGCACAAAAATCTCCATGACAGATGGTGTAGCAATTACACAAGACAGCTTTCTCATGTCTACCAAAACCGAGCTTTGGATCACTGCCAAACTAGAAGCATGGAATGATATCGCCTTTCATCTAAAATGACTCGGCAACACGAAGAAGAATTGTTCAGAGTTCATCATCATATCTCGAAGATTGGTGAGAAGCTTCTTGGAAGGATCTCGCCATGCGCCTGTACTTCTCAGGACTATCCCACCAGGTCGGGGTATTAATTATTGCCTTCTCTAACCAATACTTATCAACCTCTTCCTTCTCTGTCAGCTTCTTGTAAAATCTTCTCCACTGGTACATCGCACGTCTTAATCTAACGCTCTGACTTCCTCCAAAAAGATACTTGATGTAATCCTTAGCTAGCCGAAACAGCTCCTCTCCAGTTATTATATAGATATACTGCATTGAATGGTCAAAATTAGTTTGTCAACAAGGATGATAAGAAATAACATCAGATGGAACAAAAGCATAGAAATATAAATCAGCCATTGTGTGTATAACACTAATGATATCACATGAACTTGTGCAAGCACCATGATGTAATATTACAAAAAACGTGGGGGACAGACTATGGATCTCTGCTAGAAGATTTGTGTGTTTATCATCTGAAATGTAAAGAGTGATGCTACACTAAAACGATCTATTAAATCGGTATAATAACTGACATAGTAGACTGCAAATGGACCTTTCGAACAAGTGGACCATATTCAAGATCCAGTTACTAAAACTTTTTTTGGTTGACAATTACTACAACTTCACTCTGTACCAATTTAGTCAAGGGTCGATGTAATTGAGGGTTTTCTTTCTCTTCCACTGAAGAAACCGATCTCATTATATCTGACATAATTTGAAATGTATATTTGGACTGTCATTAAAGCATTAATGAGACAGTGATACAGAGGTCTTCAAAAAATGAGAATTACATTATCAATATCAACATGTCGAAGCACGCACTATGATAAAGACATGATTCCCTCTGTCTACCATCATTCCCAGCACCTCCTCTAAATTGACACTACCACCACCAAATCCGACAGCACCACCAGCAACCACTAACCAGGCAATCGCCTCCATCTCCAGAATCGGCGCCACCACCGAGTCTACTTACTTCATCACTATTCGTTAGCATTACCTTTAACTCCTACGCCACTATGACCACCACCTCAACCTTCAGCAGAACAGAAATTCCCAATAGATAACATCCTCCTCTGCCACAATAACTTCTTCATGATCGCCATTACCATTACATCACCTGCCAGAGTATTACCAGGAGCACCCTCTCAATTATCCCTACTATCGCTGCAGTTACCAATCTATGGACGTACCAACATTTGTCCCCCTTAACTAGCCCCTCATTATCTGTTACATAAATTGTTTGTTTGAGGACATCAAGCAGGCTTACACTTACTTACAGGATTAGATCTTAAGCTATGTTTAATAAACTGAGTTGCCTCTTGCAGGATGTTATTAAGTGCAATATATACTAAAAATTCTTATAGAATGTCCCGGTAATTCATTACTGAAAAAACAGAAAAGGAAGGAACATAAATATCGTATTTTGACAGCAAAAATTTAAACATAAGCAAGTAAAAATACTATACCAGAAATATAAAGCCAAGTGTTGCCAAAACTACTTGCACTGTTTCATCCATGATCCCGGAAAAACCTTCATCGTCAGTTCCACCAGAACCACCACCGCTGCCACCACTACCTCCAGCACCACCAGGTGGTCCTTTGCCGGAGCCTCCATCATCATAGAATTCTTGTTTTTCAAGTTGCTGCCTCAATACATCCTCGATTGACTTGTCTTTGCGAAAACTTCCCATTGCATTCTCAAGAGACTTCCAAGCTGAACCCTAATGACAACCAAATGCTCTCATCGGAACCTTGCAGAGAAAAAACAAAAAAAGAGGGAGAGAAGAAGAGGAGGGGGGGTCGATCGTACGTAGTAAGCTTGTTTAAGTAGATAACTCCCTTATCTTCTTGTAAAGCTTATAAGAGGACAATCAAAGTCATAAACAACACCGACAATGGAATGAAACAAGAAACGAAATAAGGCAAGTCATAATATCTCCAGGTACCTTGATGCCAAAAGAAGAACAGTACAGAATTAAAAGAACCCGATAGCAGATTGTTAATTACAAAATAAGATTTCCACCTTTGCCCTTCCTCAAAAATATAGAACGTGAGAAGCATAAGGTTTTAGCCGATAGAAAATGTTTCTTTGCAGGAACAATGAAGAACATTAGTCATGGAACAAAATTAAATGATGAAGCATTCACGGAAAATTCTCTCTAGAGTTCCTCTTTCTAAGGGTGAGCGCTGAGCATGGCCTGGGTGAGTCAGTTCCAAGGCAAGAACCAAGAACCAACCCTTGGTAACCTTCAGCCAGATCTAACCCCAAACCAGTTCCTTCTCCCCAGCTCTAAGATTTTCCATGCTTCGCATAATCCAGTAGGATTCATCAGCCTTAACTTCCCTTTAGCATCACCACAATGAGTTCCATTCACACTAGAGTTCCTTATCCAGGATTACAACAGAAGCAAGAAGACAGAAAACTTATCATTACGGAAAGGACATTGTTTTCGTCGAGCGAAAAAAAAAAAAAAGACAGAGAAAAAGGAGCCCTTGATAAGAACTTCAGAATAGAGATAGCATAGGACAAATAATTATAGGTTTTGCTCAACCTACCAGGGGGATTGGGCCATTAAACCTGGCTCAGTGTTAAACAGTAAGCTTGACCACCCTAAACTGTACACAGCTTGGCACAAACTACAAATTTGTTCAATCAACTTCAATGATCTCAAGAAACAAAGTGCAACGAGATGCATACACGGCTCAACTGGCTTAAGATCGAAAGGGGGAAGAGCAATCAATGAACCTTTACACATAATCGAGGACCCCTTATTTGGTCTACTCAACGTAGCAGATATACTGTGAACATATAAAATGTTGCCTGCACGACCTCGGATCCATGCCAATGGCACTAGTCAATTTATAAAATGGTGTCCAAGCACTTTATTTACCATAAGCATCATCCAACATCAAATAAGACGGCATATGACTTACCTCATTCTCACTTTCTGATTTTCCTTTGCCACCAAACAAGCCAAGAGGAATCAGTTGATGGTGGTTCAATACAGGTAGACGTGGCTTGTGCTTTGGCACCGGCATAAATTGCGGGGAGAGGAGCTTCCTGGCAGACAGCTTCAAAGATGTCCCAGATGAGCGACCAGCATCGACGGGCAAAACACAATGAGCCGAAGGAAAGCTGCGTGACGGGGACGCCCCATCACGACAGACAAGATAGCCATACGGCTTGACAGCAGCAGCTTGAAAGCAACTCATCGTTTGCCAAACAGAGCAGCTCCCGCCTCGATCACATATCATGCCCTCGCCGCTACACCACAAATCACAAAAGGCCGAGTCGATACTCGCAATTGCCAAGCATTTTTCACCGCAAAGACCGAACGAAACCAAGTACAGGAAAAACCCAATTCATCAGATACGCTAAACAACCCCCCCCAACCCACATCGCCCGCGATACCCGAACGACAATCAGTGTCATGAGCAAAGAGCTCCACAGCATAAGAAGCCAAAGCTAACAATCTCATCCAGTAAGGACACAGACAAAGACGTGTACGCGACAAGCGGTCAGCAAGAAGTTAGCAAAGGGCGCACCACAGATAACATTCAACAGAGCGGAGCGAACATTCAAAGAAATTCTCAGCCGCGACGTCAAAGTTTCGAGCATTAAACCTCGGCAAAACCCATCGGGAAAGCAAAAATTCGACAGCAGGCGAATGGTTTCGGAGACATGATCATGCGAAAGCCCTAAACTTGAGGTGCGGGAAACCTTAGGGATGACGAAACGAGAAAACCCAAGAGACGAAAGAGAGAGAACTCGTCACCTGGCAATGGAGAGAGAGCGACCGACTTGGAGGGAGAGAGGAGAGAGAGAGAGAGAGAGAGAGAGAGCTGTGAAATGGTGGATGGAGGCGGAAAGAGCCGGAATTATAAGATGATGTGGTTAAATATTAAAAAAAAATATAAGAAATTTTGTAAATGATCAAAAAAAATAAATGATAATCTACTGATAAACCATTACATTTATTTCGGATTAAGGCGAAAACTCGATGTTAAAAATCTTGCGTTAACTTTTACTGTGGATTTCTTTCTCTTTTGTTTTTTTGTTAATGATGAAAGATTATTAGTTTGTTTCACACATGTTTGCCAACTAAAGATGAATTCTAATGTGTGTATCTTTTACTAGGATGTACTTTGAAGTCATTAAAATTTTGAAAATTTTGATATTTCAAATAAATTATAATATGATTTTTGTATGCCCATCAAATATATCATATTTGTAAAGTTGGGTAGGATTGTTAGGGTTGCGCTCGATGGTATTACATGCGAGCGGATGAAATCTGATATAGCAACATCTGCTGATAATATCTTACTACGTAGCGGTAACTTATCTTAAAAGGCATTTTCCCCGTATGTTCGAAACGGATCTAATGCGTTTTCATTAAATTAGTATAATCGTATCGTATTAATATGTTTGGGCATAATAATGACGATCATATCACGATATGTACCACGTACAAATTACATGTGATAGCCTTGCTTCTAATAACAGTTCTCGTTAGAATAGCTACTATAATCGAACTACATAGCTATTCCCAAAATATGTTCTTTCTCTCTCTTACTCTGAAATGGTGGTATGATCAGCAGCAATTAAAAATTATTTCATAGAAAACATAATTACATAGTCAAGGTGATTATGATTTAGTCAAGGTGATTATGATTATCAAATTAATAAATAAATATCACAATTACTTTATGAAAATATAATGTGATGTAAATTATTAATCGGACGAAAGGCCAAATTTCTTGCAGAACTAAATGATAAGAGAAAGTTAAGAAAAATGAAAGGTCGTTCCTTAGGCGCTGCAATTCCTGGAATAAGGTTGTCTCTATTATTAACAACAGATGGATGCCAAGTGCTTAATTTTGAGCATAATATATTGCAAAAAGTTCAAAACCAGGACTCTGCACATGCCAGTTCCAACATACTCTTCAAGCAAACCCCTAGAGATTTCAATCGGGAAGATTCCCCCTAGTGCATGATCATATGTCCCAAGTACGAGACAGAAAGAAACAGCTTAAGCGACACCTCCAATCGGGTCGAAGAGAAGGCGTGTTGAATGAAGTCCAGTAGCAGAATCAGCATTCCACCCCGCACGGTTTGAGAATCGGACCGGTTTGCTTTGGCAAGAACGGATCGATCCGGACCCAGACCAATGAGAAAATAGAGGCGAGAAGTACGGACCAAAGGACCACGATCGTGGGTGTCCTGTTCTGTCTTCCCATCAGACCTTTGAGGAAAGGGTAGAGATGGACAATCACCCAAAAGGCGAAGAAGAGCTTCCCAAACAGAGGGCCCCATGATCCGTATCCGTTGTTTATAGCATCCGAAACACCGGCGACAACACCAACCATGTTCAAGATTATTAGGGTAGTCGGTGGTATGAGCAGGGTAGTCCACTTGAAAAGGTAGAGCTCACCAAACTCGCTGTCTTCGGCTGCCTTTGCTGTAACAGTGAAGTTAGTATCAACTCCAGCAAGCACCTTGAGGAGGCCTTGGAATACAGCGAAGAGGTGTGCAGATACACCACCGATGACCCAGAATTGTTCATTACGCCACCAGTCCTCAATGCCGACGCCACTCCACCGTAGTTCAAGCACGCCTGTGGCTATGATGGATAGAAAAAGGGCCAAGAACCATATGCTCGCAAAGTTATTGAGCTGTCAAAGGTAAGGTTGATTAGAATAACTGGGACAGACAAAAACAAAGAGAATGTTGGACCAAGGAATAGTCCTTATCATTCTGGAAGATAACTTTTAGGGCACTCTCTAGTGCATCCTTGAGAAACTAACTGAATAATGTCAATTTATTACAATGAACATTACTATGAACAACTGGACAAACATAAAGCACTGATCCTTAGTAGTGCACCAATTTGAGGGTGTCATGCCAACAAAAATTTAAAAATTCTATCACTCAAATAGCCTGAATGAGGATGTTAAGGTGTGTGAGTGTAGACTTTTCAAAAGTTATCCTTAATGAACTTACCGTGGGGATAATGAATTTCCCAGTCAGAAGGCAAACGGCAGGTATTGTACAGTAGGCAAGCAAGGGAATAGAAGTGAAAGGGTAGACGATGGTGTTGATATAGGCAAGCCTCTCGAGATATTTGAGTTTTCCTCCATAAGCATACCACAAGGGACAATGGCGACTGAGGAAAATCTCAACAGAGCCAAGAGCCCATCTCAGAACTTGATGGAGTCGATCTGACAGATTTATAGGTGCTGATCCCTTGAAAGCTGGTCTTTTGGGCATGCAATACACGGACTTCCATCCTCTACAATGCATCTTGAAGCCTGTCAAGATATCTTCTGTAACTGAGCCATAAATCCATCCAATCTGCCAAAGGAAAGTACAGTTTTCAGTTTCATTTCGCGAAACAACAATAAAGAATACTTGAGCCAGTTTCTGACGGTAAATTGTTTTGAGTGAATTCAGCAACATTTTCCAAATAATTCAACAATGAGCTTCTCTGATGACTAAACTTCTCAAAACTTCACAAGCAAAAATTCTCTAAAACAATCAGTAATTTCACAAATAATATGGAGGCACACTAGTAATTCTTCCCTGAAAAGTCATTTCCAGCTCAAGGAACCATAAGGATGCCCTTACTAATTTCCATTAAAAAGGGGAAGCTAAGTAAGAAGTTAGAAGATATTCAATGATAAAAAGTAAGAAAACGAAGTACTCATGAATATAGGGAGCCTTAACCAGACTGCACTTGCCTCTTTGCCCCATTCTGTTTTCTCTTCATAGCCACAACTTATAACATGGATAGCTTCCTTAATAAGTGAAGTGGAGTTAGTCCCTTCTGGCAAGCCACCATCTTCCATTAGTGTGGAGGCAATGAATACAGGCGACTGTCCAAACCGCTTCTCAAAATTCTTCTGAGACATAAGCGATGATTTTTCTAGCTCATCATAACCCTCAAGTCCTTCTTCAATGTCTTCTAGATCAAAGACAGGTCCAGACCCTTTCTTCTTCAAGTAGTTCTTTCCTGTCATCTTTTTCTTCTTCGTGTAAACAGACCCAAGCAAACTTGTGTCATCCTTCTTCTTTGACTTTGACTTCCTTGAACCACCGCAGCAACAGCAGCACCATGAAGGCCAGCAATCACATGTCATCTTTGGCCGCTTTTGGGACACTGGCGGATCATACCCATACAATGCCTGCCGATTGAACACACATCCAGTTCCAACATATACTGGTCCTTGAATCCCGTCGAGCCCTCTCATGTTGATCTGAAAGTGACACAAAGGCACATTCAGTCCCTTTACCTATTTGGAGAATAGGGATCGAAAGAAGGATAGAATCACTGCACACTTACATCAAAGAAAACTATGTTCCTATTAGCATATCTGTCATGTCGATCAATGCCATCGAACCTCTGAGGGAATTGAACATAGCAAAGCTTCTTTCCAAGTTGGGGATCCATTAGAAAACACATAGCTTCCCTGACAGCCTTACTGTTGTTGATGTAATGGTCACAATCCAAGTTCAACAAGAATGGTGCATTTGTTAGCACCGCTGACACTCGAACCTATGAAAAATATGGTTGTTGAGGCATTCAGTTCATTCAGCAGGTTCAAGAAACAGGCAAGTAATAGAATGCGATGTGCTAAGACAAGATAAACTTTGAAATAGAGGCCACATATGTCACATCAAATAACTAAGAACTAACCTTAGCATTTAGTGTCGCAGGTCTTCTAAGGAACATATATTTTTATCTTGTTGGTCTCTCAATGAATTAATTTGTATTTCAACACCAATATGATTATATGAGACAAAATTTTTCCATTGCAGGACAGCGTGAAATGCTTGGACAATAGTCATAAGGAACTCACGAGAGCATTCATTGCACCAGCCTTCTTGTGGTGCTGGTAACCAGGTCGCTTCTCACGTGACACATATACAAGTCGAGGCAACTCCTTGCCTTCCACATCCAATGCTCCAGCACTTCCCAAATAAACCTATAAAATACATGTATGTGAGCATTCTGTCATCCATGATAAAAACTGAATTTCTATACAACCGTTGTTAATTTGTTCATACAAGTTGACATTGCCCATAGCAACAGTCTGTTCTTCTTGTCTTTTGCTGCACCTACTTCTAATTTCAGAGAAGATATTGCTGAAAGCATCTAATAAACAGAAACCTATCATAATTCTTTATGTAGGGAGACTAACAAGCCTCGCAAAAAGATGTGGAGTCATGTTTTCTGCACTGTCATTAGTTTTTCTCTTAAATGCACAAACAATTACCTGGATCATGCCAGGATGATCACGTGTATTGTTTCCAGGCCAGGGGGTACCATCTTGCATTACCCATCCTTCTTCAGGTTTTTTCTGAGCTTTTGCCACCAGTGCATTGACCCTCACTTTGAACTCTTCATACTCTCTCTACATCACATACGAGAGACACCCCGACTCTCAGTGGATTTCACAACAAAAAGGAAGAAGAAGATTCAGCATTCAAACAAATAAAAGCTGCTTCTTACTTTCATGGCTCTGCGTTCCTTCACAAAGCTGGGTTCCACCTTATCTTTCAGGTAATCAATCTTTTGGGAAAAGTAAAACTCTGGAGTCCTCGGCTCGATGCTATACTTCTTGCAGAATGGAACCCACCTCCTCGCGAACTCAGCAGTTTCAGAGAGAGTGTCAAAAAGCAGCATCGAAGCACCATCATCAGATACATAGCAGCAAATTTTGTCCACCGGGTAATCAACGGACAAGATAGAGAGGACAGTATTTGCAGTGATTATTGGTGGTTCCTTAAGAGGGTCCACAGTACTCACGAACACATCCACAGGGGCTAAGCGATTGGGCTCACCCTCCCGCTCAAACCTTATGGATAATCTATCCAAATAAGTTTCTCTATTTATCGGGTTCCATTTAGGGAATTGATCAAGAATCCATGAAAGAGCAAACCATGTTTCACATATAACTGAGATAAGCCATAGAGGGAATGCATCAGTTGCAGGGGTTAAGATACGGAAATGGAGGAAAAAGCATAGGACTACGAGGCGCAGGACGATGACAATTCGGTATGGGCTTATCTTGCTCGAAGAAATTGGTACTTTTCTCCAAAGTGGTTGCCGAGCTTCAGCCATCCTGCAAAATTTACATGAAGAAGAATAAGCTTTCATTTAGCACGTGCCACCAACTTTAAATAGCTGTAATGCGTCTGCCTTGCATTATGTGAGTCCTTTGAGAGGTAAGAGTATCAGATCTTTCGCAAGGACTTCCAAAGGTGTATTTTGGCATTTGATAAGGAGCACACGTTTTGCACTTGAAAGTACATTTGAAACATTTTGAAACAAGTCCACGCGCTGAAGTTTTTTCCATGATGTGTGAAGCTATATCCTTTCTTATTTTTAATGTTGAAAATACCCCCAAAGCATGTGTTTGATCGGATCATCAAGGACCCGATTCAGAGTTTCAGCAAATAGATCCGTTGCCTCTTTCCCAAACAACAAAGAACTCTTTAACTCCTCATCAAATGTTAGACTTCGATGGACAAGCCAGTGTCGCCTAAGAAAAAATTTTCTTGGCTGTCATTTTGCACAGAGCAGTAGCAGTGAATCATGGATACCCCACTAAAATCACGGAGAATCGATAAGTCCCAAAGGAACAAAATTTTGCGGAGAACTTACAGGTATTCATCTTCCTCTCCATCGCCATTCCCGCCATCGTCCTTGCTCACTAAGCCTCTCTTTTCTTGCCTGATTTTCCACTTCTCTATCCTCTCTTTCCACTCCGCATTACCTTCTCCTTCCAACTCCGCACCGACAACTACAGAACCAGAACACACGGGAGTACTTCACTTTGTCCGACCGCCAACATACACACAAACACCACCCGAACAACACTAAAGAGGATAAGCCAACCATCAAACAACTAATCAGACTCACCGCTTCCAGCCGAAGAGAAAACCTGACCATTTGGATGGACTTGCGGCGCATGATTGTCCCCATTCTCCTGCGATAACCGTCAATCGATCAGCCATCTTCATTTCAAATCCGGCCTCTCTTTTTCCATCTAACAGAACGCCAAAATTAGAAAATCCGAAATAGAGCAGAGATCGAGCTGGCCATTACCGAATGATCAAAAGCATGGACGCGGACTTCGTTCTCGCCGCGGTTCCTGAGCTGAAACTCGTCCTCGAAATCGTCGCCGTCGAAGTTGTCGTCCTCATCGTCCCCCGCAACGCGAGGGCACCCTGCGAAACCCGCACAACAAAAAGACAGAAAAAAAATCCCGTCACTCGAGGAAGCGATCCCGACCGACCGGCGACCGGCCGACCGACCGAACCCGCCGTCGGTCGGCGGCGGCGGCGGCGCGAAGAGCGAAGAGGGGGGCTCCGGATCGGACCTTTGTGGCGCTTGTAGCGGGCGTTGCACTGGGGGCAGCACTGGTTGCCGTCGCTCCGCTCGTACTCGTAGCACGGCCGGCAGACGGGGAAGCCGCACTCGTGGCAGGCGGCGAACGGAGCGCCGTCGTCCTTCAGGCCGATCTCGTCGCAGCAGACTCGGCAGGTTTTCGACGGATTTTGGCGGGGAGGGGAGCGATGCTGGGGAAGTTCAAAAAAAAATAGAAAATGAAAATGGAAAAAGAAGGTAAAAACCCGAATTACATTTTTTTTTTCCAATTTCACGACTTATTAAGTTATAAGCACGTGTAATAATAATCATTTTATTGCTCCATAATAAATTAGAATTTTTTAAAATTTGAGAAGAAAACGAAATGATTAAAATAAAATATTGTGAATTTCTCGTCCTTGGCTTTTTTTTAGATAGCTTCCCGGCACTAATCGGATCGATCTATTTCAATTTATTCGATGGCTTTGAACTGAATTTAATAATTTCGCGTTATTTTAGAATTTGTGCAAAGTCAATTGTAATCGAGGGGCGATCGTTTTGATAAATTAGTTATTGCAATTGAATTTTTTGAATATATTATGTGAGTAGTGGTGCTAGTGGAAGAAATTACACCATCGATTATAGATGTAACAAGCACCCGCCTAATGTCGAGAGCCCAATTTTGACGGGTTAACGTTATGCTTATATAAACTTATATATGAATCGATTTCCCGGGTGATGCGATAATCTGTAACTAGAAGTTTAGATAGGCGATCGTGATCGACCTTCGAAAAAGAGCTTGCTATATTATCTTATATAATAGATATAGTAAATAAATAATATCATTACTCCTTTTGCATACTCTTTTATATTGATGGACCAAAAATTCTCTAGTATCTAGTGAAGAATTTTCATGTGATTACGAAATAATTGTGATGAACAGGGGACGATATAACACAAGATAAAGAACACGTAAGCAAAAATTTCGAGCATGCATTCAATACGATGTCAGTGTAACGTCGCGACACATGATGATTCGTTAGCTCGCAAGAATTTTACGACGAGAATCTCCGAGGACAAAAGAGAGTAAAAGAATGGAATAAACATATGGTAACCAGCTGGTGAAAATGGATGGAAACAAGAGGAGGATGGGGGGGTGGCTACGTACTTCATCCGCCGCGCCGCCATGTGCGACGTGGAGCTCGTTCCGGGAGTGAGAGCCCACGGCGAAGCCGGACATGGTGTTGGAGGCGGCCACGGGCGAGCGATCACGAAGAAGGAGCGCCGAGACGAGACAACGAGAAGGTACTGAGAGAGAGAGAGCTTACCGGGTTGCATCATATATGGAAGAGAGCGAGGAACAGAAAAGGGTTTTGCTTGAGAGTGCGTGTGAGTGTGCGCTGTGCATCTACCAAACGGTGAGGTGGGAGGTCGTAGGTTTGAGTTGAAGAGACGTCAATTTTTGCAGGTTCTGGTGGAGGGAGGGGAGGGGAGAGATTGCTTGTTAGCTCTGCAGCTGCTTCGATAACTTCGATTCCAAGGCTGTCTTGAAACGCTGACGCTAACTCTCTTCCAAACTATGACAGCGTTATTTTATGGGGACATTGCACTGCAATCCCGTACCCTCTGTATACATGTATGTATACGGTTTTTACTGCAGTCCCGTTGTCACTTGATGATCATCATCGATTATCGGGCGGCGTCGAATTGGATCCGGCAAAGCCGGCAAAGCAAAACCTACGACTGACCCCCGTTTCATGAGGACTGATTCTGCAATGATAAAATCCGCCGATGTCAGTACGAGGGCTGCGTTTTCGCCCATTTTTTTTTGGTTGGTGAAGCTTCGCGTATCAAAGTACTTGGCGAGTTTGAAAAATGAGCGATCGCTTTTATGCAAAGTTAACTAAAAATAAATGGGAAAAGTGCCAAAAAAGTCCTAAACCTTTTGCATTAGTGCCAATTTAGTCCTAAACCTTTTTTTGGTGCCAATTCAGTCCTAAACCTTTTGCATTGGTGCCAATTTAGTCCTAAACCTTTTTTTGGTGCCAATTAAGTCCTAAACCTTTTAAATTGGTGCCAATTCAGTCCTAAACCTTTTATTTTTGTGCCAATTTAGTCCTTCCGGCCAATTTAGACCGGAATTTGCCTACGTGGACGCCTTTGCCGGCCGGCGGCCGGTCACCGGCGCTGACGTGGACAACTTTAATATTTTTTAAATATTTTTTTGAATTTTTATTTTTTTTCCGTTTTTTTCCATTTTTTTTTTCCACTTTTTTTTTTTGGTTGTCTTCCTCCTTCCTCTGGCCGGTCGCCGGTCCGGACGACACCGTAGGCCGAGGCCGGCGAGGGCGAGCCTCGCCTTGGTCGGGGCGAGGCTCGAGCCCTCGCCGGAGGCCGCGGCGAGGGCGAGCCTCGCCTTGGTCGGGCGAGGCTCGAGCCCTCGCCCGACCAAGGCGAGGCTCGCCCTCGCCGCGGCCTCCCGGCGAGGGCTCGAGCCTTGCCTTGGTCGGGCGAGGCTCGACCTCGTCGGATCTGGCGAGGTCGGGCCTCGCCCGACCATGGCGAGGCTCGCCCTCGCCGCGGCCTCCCGGCGAGGGCTCGAGCCTTGCCTTGGTCGGGCGAGGCTCGACCTCGCCGAGATCCGGCGAGGTCGAGCCTCGCCCGACCATGGCGAGGCTAGCCCTCGCCGCGGCCTCCGGCGAGGGCTCGAGCCTTGCCTTGGTCGGGCGAGGCTCGACCTCGCCGGATCTGGGCGAGGTCGACGCTCGACCTCGCCCGACCATGGCGAGGCTCGCCCTCGCCGCGGCCTCCGGCGAGGGCTCGAGCCTCGCCCGACCAAGGCGAGGCTCGCCCTCGCCGGGCGAGGCCGCCCTCGCCGGCCTCTGGCCTCTGGCCGGTCGCCGGACCGGCGACCGGCCAGAGGAAGGAGGAAGACAACCAAAAAAAAAAGTGGAAAAAAAAGGAAAAAAAAAAAAAAAATTCAAAAAAATATTTAAAAAATATTAAAGTTGTCCACGTCGGCGCCGGTGACCGGCCGCCGGCCGGCAGGCGTCCACGTAGGCAAATTCCAGTCTAAATTAGCCGGAAGGACTAAATTGGCACAAAAATAAAAGGTTTAGGACTGAATTGGCATCAATTTAAAAGGTTTAGGACTTAATTGGCACCAAAAAAAGGTTTAGGACTAAATTGGCACCAATGCAAAAGGTTTAGGACTGAATTGGCACCAAAAAAAGGTTTAGGACTAAATTGGCACTAATGCAAAAGGTTTAGGACTTTTTTGGCACTTTTCCCAAAAATAAATATACACGATGCCAATCTATGTAATCATAAGGAAGAAGTTTTCTCATGTCCTTTGATTTGTGTACCTCTATGCATGCCTATTGCTGACTTACCATTACGAGTTGGGTCTTTGTTCCCCAATCGCAACCCCTGTTTTTAACTTTTCCAATTTTAATATCGATAGTAGCTCATTCTCTGCTAAGTACCATAAGAAGAAGAGATGGGTAATCTCATCAAATATTTCAATAAAAGAGCAAAATCCAAGCAAAGCGCTTCATCTTCCATTCATCCGGAAGTACCAGATATAAGAGGATACCATTCAATACATATGAATCATCAAAGTGCAGCATCCCCACATGTTATCGGGATTAGAGACTTCCAAATCTCTTGTAGCCAGACAGAAAACTGATGCGCCAGGGCCGACACCATGTTCGGCTAATGCGAAAGCCGCTACTAAGTAGTGATACTTTGGTCAGCTGAAGTACATATATCTATTGCAGCAAATAGAGACAATGAAAAATGCAGACATAATAAGCATTGAATTTCAATGCTCCATGTGAAAAAGCTGAGAATAACATCATGAACGACGCATTTCTTCCTTTCGTTTGGTTTGACATTCTCACCGCAAATTTGCAATGCTGAGTTGGGATAAATCATAACCTCAAGCATGCATTTTCTGACGCTTTGAAGGCTGAGAAGACGACTCACGCATCCCTTGCTCGGGACTCTCGAGAGAGACGGCTGCAGGTTCGCTTTGCATCCCCCCCTGCTCCTGCAAACATTCTCTAGGAGCAACGTTGCTATCATTGACAGGATCGATATCAGTTTTTTCTGGCTCCTCCTTGGATTCTTCATATTCGCCTTTTCCAGGGGAGTCTTGAAGTTCTCCAGAAGGCGCAGAGTGATTGTCTAAAGTAGAAGAAGATTCTTTCAGCTTGTTCATTCCTGATTGGCTCTGCTTCTCGAACATCTTCTGGAGGTATCTCCCCTGCTCTTCAATCTGAAGCTGGAGTTTCCTCTGAATCTGCAACAAATGAAAAAAGAGAATGAATCAAACAAAGAAGTTGTCCACTAAACCAGTTAAGTTTCCACAACATCCAAGTAGCAGTCTGCGCTAAGGAGACCTTTCTAGATGGGTAACATGCAGTTAAAGTTACAGGCATGCTCCTACCAAATGCTTGCTAAATGAGTCCCAAAGCTGAACAAGCTCCACAGTCTATGCGAATACTCCAAAAAAAAAAAAACGGAGGGAAAATACTCATGTCCTAATGTCAGCACTGGAACATAAAGAATAAACGCGAAGATAGTGACAACTTGGTTGAACGAACCACCAAATATTTTTCTCGTCATTAGCTCAATCCAAACCACGATAAAAATATCTGAGAAGTTATACCTCAAGTTGTTCATGTAGCCGCTTCTGTACTTCCATCTGCATTCTCAAAGCTTCAGTGATCTCCATGCTCCTAAAATTCAAGCAAAACTTAATGAGTTCTTTCACAATTGCTTGATAGATAAGAGACAAACCACAAATCAAATCCAGCTGTTCAACTGCCTTTGCGTCGTCTTCAAGGTCCACAACCCAGTTAGCTACATAATATGGAAAATGAGTATAATGCATGAATCAACTGACATCACACTTATCTTTCTTTGTTGGTCATATATATAGGACAACACCGACATTCTTGGACGGAGCTGGAGCAATTAGGCAGTGGGGGAAAAATTGCAAAAGAGATTACAACACATTATGTAATTGCTTTTTTTTTCTATGAAATGTGCATAAGAGCTAGAAGTTGAACAATTAGCAGGTAACTTAGTACAAAGGGATTTGCTTTATTTCAGATAATCTTGTGGATGCCAAAAAGAGAGCTAGTTTGGATTATCAGAGCAAAATGTGGGTCAAAGCCTAGAACTTATGAATGAATCAGTTTTCTTATAAGAAGAGAAAATATACTAAAATTTTAAATATCAAATTACAGTGGGGGCAATTGCCTCCACTACATAAGCTGTGGCGCCATCCTGACGAGATTAGGCAATATACAAAAGATCCTTTATGATCTAGTACTGCAGAAGCTAGGACTATCAATAAATTGATGAGCGGCTGGGGAAATCACAAAGGGTTAACCACGACAGTCAGATTCCTCTAACAGAGTAGACAGGTGAAAACCATTTACTGGGAGAATGGCACCATTAGACATCAGTAAAAGATCAGAAATCCATCACTTGAAATAATTTCCACTTAGCTCCGATTGCAGTTGTATCACTTTTCTGTATTTTCTAAAATCATATTAAATCATTTATGAATTTACAGTCGCATTCAAAAATTAGTGGTTCCCATCATCCTAAATCCTTATTAGCCAGATAGACTAAATCTGCCTTAAACAAAGAAATATGGAGTAATAAGTACTTCAATCATTAGCTACATATAGGTTTGTTTAAACAGTTGGTCGTTTGAGAGTAGACAAATAAGACCCATTTAATAGAAAAACAGCACTCCTAGACATATGGGAAAGAGCAAAATCCCATCTTTTAAAAAAATCTGCAAGTTCCTCCAATTAAGGTTATCACTTTGGTATGTCGTTTCAGAATGCACATTGAATGATTCACAAATATAAAGTCACATTTTAAAAGCTAATGGTTCTGATTTCTCTTAAATCCCGGCTTTTGTAATTAATTTAAAGTCTTTACATTAGCTAAATGATCTGCATTCAACAAAAAACTATGGAGCAATAGGTACATTGATCAGCAGCTACATATAAGTTTATAGAACAGGTTGGGTGTTTAGGCGATTCAACCAAACTGCATACTGGCACCATTCTTTCTTATGAAGGGACCAAGTGAAAACATCACTTGGAATCTATTCTAGGTCCAGGAAACAGACCAGATATTTTTATGCTATACTATAACCAAAGACAATCTGCTCAGCTGATACATATGCTTTTTTAGGCATCTAGGAAATATAGGGAAAAAAAGGAAGAGAAATATGGGATGGAGCAGCAATGCACTTACGTCTTTAGATCAAGGGTTGACAATTCTTCAATAGGAGTCAATCTTCTCTCTGATGACCCTGAAAGAAGAAAATAGCAAAAATTTTAATTCATCATTTTTCCACTGAAGCGTGTACAAAGAATGAATAGAACAAATATTAATAAGAAAAAGAGTTTAGAAAAGAAGGGCACTTAAGCATAAAACAAAGGATAATGGGCGGGGGAGTACTTGAAAATATACTTGTGACCTAGCATCAGAGCAAAATTAAACAGAACCTTGCGAATTAGGACATTTTCTAACCTAACCCCATAAACCATTCTCCACAGCATTAACTCCAAACACAAGGCACACCCAGTCCATCCGCATATATGACACAAACCCCTATATAAATCTAATGTATTTCAGGAATATGGTAAATTCAACAGAGGAACCAAGTGAGTGTGAGAATAAGCTCGAAAGATGTGGAAACCCAGAAGCATGAGCTATATACCTTCTGAACAATCTGGTCTATATCTTGCTGTTCTATACTTCTGCAATAAAAGTTAGAACAACTTAAACCAACAAAAAGAAGAGAGTTCAATGAAAAAGAACAGAGGATTTATAGTGAAGATCTCAACCGGAGAAATTTAATTTGACCAGAGAAAAAAAAGTCACGCACCTGTAAGTGGCTTTTTACATGATAGATCGTCAGCCCTTCAACTTTCATGAGTTTTAGCACACCCTTAGGTGTGGCTCCTGAAACATAAGTTAACAGAATGAACAATTGACTCTTGGTAACTTCTTAATATTAGATATCCATAGCTTGGACAATGACATACGTTCACTGCCACCGAGTTTACTGACAGCCTCCACAAAAGCCTCATGAAGTTCTGGTGTCCAGCGCATACGTGCCTTGGCTGCAGTACTATTTGCCGTGGATGAAGAGTTGTTGGCAGTATGGATATCGCCCGATGAAGCAGGAAGCTCTTGATGTAATCGTGTCTGATGTGCTGAAAGACTTGATGGTGATTTGTTGACCCCGCATGCCATCTGCAGTGACACAACAAGCAAGTTAAAGAATTAGAATCACCAAAGTTGCCAATATTGTCAGCATGCTTTCCAACCTTTGATTCTGGATTAGAGTAGTTGGTTTCGCCAAGAAGCTCATCCCAATTTGGTGTCAAATCGTCATCTTCATTGATTAGCTGATCTGCCCATTCCTGCCAATTGTTTGGTTTACTTAAGTCCTCAGATGCCAGGACACCAATCCCATCACCACTTTCCATCTCATTGTTCTGAAAGGGAGAATTCACGGGAAAATCATATATGCATGGTAATGCATCTGAACCCCAAGATGCCTTCTCATTGTTAGCATACTGTGTTGAAGCTTCAGCTTGAAGAAGCTCAGCATCAGCAGAAGATTTTATTATATAAGTCGGTCTACCACTTGTTGACTGAGAAATAAAGGGAGCACTTCCTGAATGCTTTTCCGGAGGAGTAACAGATGAGTAATGAAGACCCGTTGAGTATCCAGAGGTCGATGAACACATATGACCAACTGCCCCACCACTGGACTGCAGAGGAGTTCCAGGAGATAGAGAACTTGACATGGTAACCTGATGAGAATCTGGAAGCTTGGGATATCTCTCTTCAAAATGAGTTGGAAGAACCGGAGAGGATGAAGACATTACTCCTGAGGCCCTCACATTATTCAGCTGCTGCATACCAGGTTTTGGAAGCGAATAAGTATGGCTTGCTTCCATTATGCTCCTACAATCAAGAAACATAGATAAAATCAGTTTGCAACTAACTGAGTAGTGTAATGTGTGTAATATGGCAAAAATGTAGCACGTTCCCGCCGGCTTCTTTCCTCAATCTTTATATGCACCGGACAAGCTCATCAATTTGGACACAAAAAGGCATGAAAAAGGCCTTATGTCAACTCCATGATAAAATTTCTCAATTGGTAAGCTTATCAGCAGAGGATACAATCTTTAGTGAAAACATTAAGTACTGAGAAATTAGGAAACTGCAGCCCAAGCCTATAAACAAATTAAGTTCCACAGTCAAAAGATATTACCGTTGTCATCAAAGAATTTGACAAAGTGCACTAGTGAATGGGAAGCATAATTTTTCAGCTGATTGAGCCCTTTTGGTGGCAAATCAGCCAACAAACTCATACTATTTTACATCACAATCCCCAGTGAAAACATATTGCTACTTGTAAGAGCCGAACCAAACAGAAAGTATCGCTACTAGAGAACTCTGCTTTATTATATTGTACTTATCTCAGGTCGATACACCAAGATAAATGAAAAGACACGAATGAATAGCCAGACACCGGTTGAAAGCCATCAGAGACTAACCACATTCTTCAAACTTAAAGCAAATAGTTGAAGCCCACCCATCACTACAAGTCTACATTACCATCACACTTGGGTCACGGGAGGGAATAGGAAAGTAATGCAGTAACAGTTCCCTGGGAATATAAATATAAACATATCAAAATAGGCATGGATCTTAACAAGAAGACTGATAAGCATATGATAGAATTTCCATCAAGAATAAACCCGGAATGAAATGGTTCTTCCACTGTCCCACTCATATTGCAGCCCGGACATTCATCCTAGTGGGCTGGTATTGGACATGTGGTGGCATCAATAAATGGACTCGAATCTCACTCTACCAAACGGGAATATTCTCTTTATCCATTCACCAAAAGGAGAAGAATACTGACTTTTAGTTGACAACCTACATGGTAAGCTAACTGACATTTGTGAAAATGATTCACCCATGAATTTGACAGGCACAACTAAATTGTTCCGCTCGAGGGTGAGCTATGGACTCCAAAGTCCTTCAAGGAAGGTGCCCGCCGTGGACTTCACGCCTTAAAAATGCAGGCTTTGGGCTCAAAGAGCTTCAAAATAACGACAACGAACAGAAAAATTTCTCAGACAAAGACTTTGAAAGAAGAAAGCGGATATGAAAGGATTTTTTTTTTCCCAAACTCTGTTCTCACGAAGTCACAAGAACAACCAGCGACAGTAATCCGAGACAGAAATTGTTCCACTGAATTATCCGACGGCAACGTTTGCCCGAGTCTCGGCTTCACCTAGGACTCAGAAAATGAAAAAAAAAAAATTTCAAGGCGGATATCGCGCGCGAACACTCGCGGACTCCATTCACAACCACAGCTCAAACAGAATCGAACGAAAGCTTGAAGAAACTCCATCCTGTTCTGCTACCACAAGCACCCTACCTCGCCCGTCCGCGATCAATCTCCTCGAGATTCGACCCGAATTGCAGCCGAAACCGACCGAGCCGCCGAGCGATCGGCCATTGCTCCTCGCCGCTCACCGGAGAGCCTCGGTCACGGCGGCGGGAGGAGAGGGGAGGGGAGGAGGGGCCCGGCGCGCGGTGGTGGATGGCGGAGAAGCTCGCCGGCTCCGGCTTCGCGGCGTCGAGGGCTGTTCGCAGTTTCCGCCACAGGCCACCCCCTCCGTCGTTGATCTCTAAAGCAATATACAGGGGTGCGTCTCTCTCTCTCTCTCTCTCTCTCTCTCTTCCTATTATTCTGTTGTCCTTTCCTGGAATTTTAGGCCTCCCCCAAATTAATGCAAATACTTTTAAAAAGCACTTCTTTTTTATCTCAACAGTAAGAAAAATATATAAAAAATAGTTAATACCACGAGAACCCCACAAACTGGTACACTCGTAATCAATTTACTCCAAACTGCCATAAACTAGTACACTGTTAACAAATTTACTCTCCGTTAGTTTCGGTTAATTTTTACCGTCGAATTACTAAATTGGATAACACGTGATAGTTGACGGGAATACGGGTTTGAGGTTTTATCTTCATTTGTCACATGTGTACCATCTTGTGGTTTTTCGTTATATTAATCCAATTTAACGGAAACTAACAAAGAGTAAATTTTTCGCAAATGTACCAATTTGAGATTTTTGGTAGTCAAAAAATTAGTTTATGATAAATTTGTCACGGATATACCAGTTTTAGGGTTTTTTGGGTAAATATGAGATTTTTTGTGATATTAATTAATGGTCCAAAAAAAAATTGAGGTAACTCATATTTAAAATGTGAAAGGACGTAAGCTAAAATAAATTTTTTAAGAATGACAAATGTTAATTCAACTTTTCCACTACTATAATGAAGAGGCCTCTTGAGGAAAAAAAAAATGGAAGCTAACTTATTTTAAAAAATTCTATGTGAATGAAGCGGCAAAATAAAAATCAGCACATAAATTAAAAAAAATGCATTTAAACTAAAAGCAGAGCCTACTTTCTGTGTAAAATTTGGGTCAAATAAAAATATAAACCGAAGGATAGGGAAAAAAAAATTTAGGGTTGTTGAGGGAATTATCAGATGCTCATAAATTTCGAAAATGATTTTTTGGTTGAAATCGCACGACATTTGGAAATTTATTTTTTTTGTCGTAAATTTGGAATTTGATAAGAAATCATGACATATAAAGCTCTGTGAGCTATCACTATCCTAATGTTAAGTGTTGCCAGAATAAGCACTCATTCCATATGGGATTCGACAAAACCCTTTCTTTTGCTCTCGTATCTTATAGTTCCCTCATAAGATGCAATTGCATGGTGATCGAGCGAGTGTCTCTTTTGAGATAACCCGATCGATGAAAATCAAAAAGAGGAAAGAAATCGATGCTCATAGACGTGTGAGTTGATACCATCGCATATTCACCTATTAATCGGCTTCTTTTTAATCGGGAGGGCAGATGAAGCTGCACACAAAAACTTTCACCAATTACAAAAAAAAAAGAGAGAGAGAACAGAATTAGCCGTCGCAAATTGGACAAAAGAACAATCTCATTATTTATAAGAATGCTAATTTTTTTGTAACAGAATTGCGAGATATATACAAAATCACCAGCATCAACTTGATAAGTTATATAATTTTATGTAATTGCATTTGAATATTTGCTCATGGTCATTAAAATTTATTAGTATTATAAATTTAACAATACCATAATTATTTAGATAAAATTAATGATCACGTTGTAAGATAATTATGTCTGCTTGACCAGTAAATTGCCAGCCTAGATTTCAATTTTTGTACTGGTCATGAAAAAATTAATAAATTTGATATTCTGTTTTTAGTTCTTTTTTCCTTGACCGATAAAAAGAAAGACAAAGGACAAAGAAAAAGGAAAAGGAAAAAGAAGGTTATTTTTTTTCCGACAACGGCGTCGTTGCGGTGCGGCTCAGCCCCTCTGTCGCCGCCATAACTCCTGCGCGAAGAGAAAAAAGATCAGAGCTTTCTCGAAGCCGCAGCTTGCGTCGCTGTCCGTGGTGGCTCTGCTCTCTGAGAGATTCATCGGGGAAGAAGAAGAAGAAGAAGGAGAAGAGGAAGAAGAAGGAGAAGGAGAAGATGTTCAAGAAGGCGCTCGAAGCTAAGACGCAGCAGAGGCTGTCCGGCGCCGACAAGAAGAAGCTGCGGCGGGCAGTCAGGGACAAGTTCCCCAGGTGCTCCGACTCCGATCTCGACGCCCTCCTCCCTCCTAAAGTGAGCTCCTCCTCCTTCTTCGTCGTCTCCTTCTTTTTGATTCCTTTATTCTTAATGAAAACGTTTGAGCCCGATTGGGTTCTGGCGGATGCCGTTCCGGATTCCGTCTTCCGATGGAGGAGGGGTCTGCTTGTTTGGTGGATGAGTTTGTGTTTTTCTGAGTCGGTTCCGATTCGCAATGCCGCGTTGAAGTGGCGTGTTCCGGCTCTTTGGCGCGGCGGATTCGATTGCGATGTCGGTTCGGGTCCCCGGGTGTTGGTTTGTATTGCTGCTGCATTGAACTCGCGAGGCTTCTTTTAGCTTACTGCTACGCGGTTGCTTTCAGGCGACACTGAACCGATGAAAGGTGTGGCAGTGCCGAAGAAAAATTGGATTTTTACCTGCAAACTGCGTGTATGATGGATGAAATCATCCTACTTAATTGTTCATCCCAAGGATGTTTGCAAGTTGAACGATAAGTGGACAATTCAAAAAGAAGAAGAAAATGGTGATTTGCAATGTTTACAAGCAATTGAAAGTTATGGGCACTTCATAGTTTTCGCTAAGAGTGTGCAAACTGCTGCTCTGGAAGATATAGCTTCCTAATCCTTTTTGAAAAGATGTGTGTCACGGAGTTCCTCCTTGAGTAGCCTAGCAACATGGCATTTGTTTGATCAAATGAGAGAGCTTGCTACACCTACGAAGATCAAAAGAACGTGAACGTTACTCACCGACCAATCTCCGAGAAATGACCAAATTATATTTACATTTTGAACTTTCATTCAAATTACTAGTGACTTAAAGAACTTATCACATCACTTTAATAGTGCACTAATCGAGCGTAGGTGTCCCTCTGGCATGTTTATTCTAGGCCGAGATGATGGTTGCAAAGCTTCAAAACCGAGTGCATGTGTACAGTGTGGAAGGCGAATTTCCAATGTTCTTTGACATTGATGGAAGAGGCTCGGAAATATTTCCTTCAGGTAAGCATTTATATGTCCGCACTTTTTTGCTAGAAATGAGGTTTGCTTTCTTCCGAATTTGCCATTATGTGTCCTGCTAAACTTACTGCTCAGCTTTCAAGGCTTCATTACTGACAGCACCCTCTCAATGAAAGTTCACATTACCAAAGATCACACAATTGTTTGGGCCATTGTTTTTGCTCAATCTCCACTCTGTAGAACCATATATCTGTCCGTGATTCTTTATGATTTTTTATTTGACTCAAGTAAATGAAGCCTATATTAACGTTATTTGGGTTCTTTTAGGACAGTCAGCTATTGGTGGTGAAAGATTTCTTCTTGTGTTGAGGTGGTTTTTGAGTTTTTTTATGGGATGCTGTGGCTTAAGCATTGTAATATTTGATTATGCCACTGCTCATATTCTTTACTCCTAATGTTTTTTTTTTTTTTTAAATTGAGTGTACGGATGCATACATTAGACCCAAAGTCGTCCGACCCTTCCCCTGACGCTGTGCATGGCGATGCTTCTGCACCTTTATATTCACACAGCTAGTTCAAGGTGCTTGCTTAAGAGATTTCATTGCTTAGAAGCTGTGAAAGTATAGAACCTCAAAAGAGGAAAGAAGGGAAAAGGAAGGAGCAGAAAGCTTCAAAATATCAGTACACCTTGTGGAACATGAGATCTTGACCTATAGTATATCATTGCAATTAGTAATCTGTGTCCTTGAAAATTTTGCATGATTTGATGGTTCTGCTTTTATTGCTGCAGTCTATGCTCTTTGGAGAGTCCCTGAAATTGTACCTGCTTTCCTACTCAAGGGAGGCGAAGTATCTCGCTTTATCATTGGTGGAGCAGATTTGATGTTTCCTGGAATTAGTGTGCCTCCTGAAGGCCTACCTTCATTTGCGGCGGGGGAGATATGGGCAGTTAAAGTCCCTGGCAATCCTGCTCCAATAGCTGTGAGTGTCTCTTTAGATTTTCTCATGACCTTTCGTTTCCTTGCTGTTATGCTATTCTCTTTGTGTTAAATACCAATCCAAACTTAAACAGGTGGGAACTACCACAATGAGCAGCAGTGAAGCCTTGAAAGCTGGTTTACGTGGAAAGGCTTTGAGAATAACCCATCACTATCGGGACCTCCTTTGGTAAGTATTTCCAAAAACTAATTTTGGGCTTAATCGAGTTATACAATTTTCAGGTTATCTTATCATTTTGTCTGGAACGTAATTAGGGAGACTGCCGAGGGCCGGTTTGCTCCAAATGCTGGTTTCTTGGAGGATGTGGTGTTTGAAGACCCTGCTTTCTTATCATCTCGCCAGGAGTCAACTGCTTGTGAAGGTCAAAGCAAGGTTTCAAATGATCAAGAGGATGGTGCTGAAGATGAAGACATGACTGAGTCTGTTAATGAAATAAATCCCGACTCTATTCAGATGAGAAAGATGGATGGTAGTACTGAAAGTTCAGATAAATTAGTTGCAGATATTGGTACTTTGACGGTTGCAGATGATGTTTCTGCTGAGGGATCAAATGTTGAAGACCAGCATAATTTCACATCTGCAGATGTAGATGCACTTCTTGACAAATGCCTCTTGCAAGCCCTGCATACAACCATCAAGGACAAAGACCTTCCTATGCCTGGAAGCACATTATGGTAAAGAATCCTAACATTCCCAGCCCCAAGGACAAGAATCTGCTGGATCTTAGTTTGGCTGTGTTTAGATGCCTCTCAAACCTGTTTGGGTCGCTTATGCACCTTGTGACAAAACTGTGTGAGTTTTAGCTTCGTGGGAGAACTAAATCACTCATGGATCCATGCCTTATGTTGATCCATATGTCTGGATTTGTTAGGTACCATGCTGTGCATTTCTGACCGGGCTCTATTCTGGTGTCTACTAGTTGCCTTATTTGTTTGCGTGTTTCTAGAGCATGATCCTAGTTGTTTTACTCCACAGAAGCAGAGTAGACTCTGTATTGGTTTATGTGAATGTAGTTGCTATGGTTCCAATATTCACCTGGTAGTAAATTGTGCATAGCAATATGAAACCTGCATAATATCATCATATCCAGTTTTAGGAAACATGAACTAGTATGCCTTGTGGTTGAGAGTATAGTATCATCACTTCTCTCGCTATTCTGTGTGAGACGTCTAGCTAAGTTTAGATTGCATTCATAACTTTTTAGGTCCTAGTTTATTCCCAAGCAGAATTGTTTTGCTTTTTATAGTTGATTTGTATGTTCTAGCCTAATCTGGCTGAATTATATTTTATGCTTGAAAATGAAAAAGATGGAGGATTTCTATGGATAGCAGAGTATGTCTCTCTCGATGCTGTTTAACAGTCAGTTGAGGGACAAGGAGATTGATCTCTTTCAGGCAACCTGCGAATTAGGAGTTCTAATGATCGAAGAGTATTATATCCAAGAAAATTAGAAAGCTGGCTTGACTGAAAGCCTAAGATGCTTATGATGTTATAATATCTTGATTTTCCGTACTCATTATCCTTGCTTTAGCAAGACTTTATGATCATCTGCTCTTTGCCATACCCATGTCGATGTACATGCCAAATTATTTTGACATTTCACTGGATGTATTTTACTTGGGACACGTTTTACATTCTTCTCATGTGATTGCTGCAGGTCAAACCATGTATTGCCTTGTAGGCCTCAAGGTGTCACTCTTGATATCAAGAAGTCTTCATACAAGAAATTGTCAAAGTGGTTGCAGGCGAAATCAACTGCCGGACTGGTGTGTATACCTGCACTGTTAGTGAGCTTTAAGTTTGTTCTAGTGCTAAAGCTCTATGATTCCAACATGTGCCCAGTAGTATATCTTTAATTTACATGGCTTTTAGCAATATCTATCATCTTTCACATTTATTGCTTCAATAGCTGTTCAGTCGGGGAATAGTTGTGAACTTAGTGCAAAAAGGTCTCTTCTGTCGTAGTTTTTTGGCTTGCTCTTTTTTTAAGAGGACAAATGAGGCTCTTCTTTGGCCTTTGCACCGCTAAATGTATACCTGTATGATTAATTTCGTATGACCTTCTCTGGTTCTTTGGACAGGTTTCTGTAAAAGAAGATAAATATAAGAAGGAAGTAGTATTATTAGGAGTTAATCGAAATCATCCTGATTACTCAGCATTCAGACCAGAAAAACGGCCTGTGGAGAAAAGTGACCAAGTTGGTGATCATGCTGCAAAGGAAAGTCAGTCGGATAAAACTCTTAATGTGGTGGAGGTCTACAAACCAAGTGTGCATGTCAATGCCATTTTCACTTCTGTAGGAGCTGATAGGGGAAAACTCTGTACTGCTTCAGAAGCAACTGATATTGTATTTAGATACGTTGAGCAAGAAAATCTGGTTAAGCCAACAGACAGGTCCACTGTGGTGTTGGATGCCATACTGTGTGATGCACTGTTTAAAGGAGCCATAAAGAAAGGATCAATGTACCCGTCAGAAATTCATAAGAAAGACCTGGGATCAACATTCATTAGCCGCATGCAACCACATCACGTAGTTACCAGAGGAAGTGATTCAGTTGTTCGTAAGGGTGCCTTGAAAGCTATTCAGATAATGACAGAACGAAGGCAGGGTAACAAAAAGGTTACGAGACTATCTGGTCTCGAAGCATTTTTAGTGGATCCAGAAGCATTGGCATCGGAGCTGCAGAAGAAATTTGCCTGTAGCACAACAGTGGCTGAACTACCAGGTATGCTACTCCTAGATACTCTGTTGTATAAATAAGCAGTTTCTACTGTCATATTCTACTTATGGCAGGCCAGAGAAAACATGTCGGTAGGACTTTGGCGATCAGTTTGCCTTTCACTGCAGAAATCAAAATCTTACTTGTGTAATTGGCTTGGCTGAGCTTATCCTAACAATAGGAAGTAGGAGTTCAATAGATTGCTTCTCTTCCATTTCAAAAAAAAAATTGAAACCTGGTGCCTTGGTTTGTGAAAGCTGCCAGTTGCATTATGCTCTCACGTGCAGCTCGTCTCAATGAGGAAACAAAGAAAATCTATACCCTGTGAGAAGCAAAAACTGCTGTAATTTGGCGAGGCGGAAAGAAAGTTTTTTGTAAGCACAAAGACTTTGTTATGCCCTTGCCTTGGATTGTCTCGTGTTGATGGAATCAGCCTAGGAGCAGCTAAATCATGCAAGTAAAGAAATCTGAAATAGTGGCATCTTAGGTTCAGAAAACATTAGGCTTTGGATTTGGATTTGATATCATCCTGCAGGCTATTTTGGCGACCTCCTTTGCATTACGCAGATGTTAATATTATCTTGAAAACCGTTCGATTTCATGTTTATCTAAGTCGGATGTGGTTGACATCTCAGGTAAAAAGGGGTACGAGGTTTTGGTCCAAGGTGGTGTGATTGATGATCTGGCGAGACATCTGATCGAACAGTATGGAATTCCAAAGAGGTATATGGAAGTTCTTGATAAGACAAAGAAATAAGGAGAGAATTGGTCGGTCCGCCGTGGCGGTACACTTTACATGTTCCTTTATGAATAATGTTGCGAAATGATGTCTGAGGGTGCACTATTCTGTGAGATCAAGCATCTATTACCGAGGTCGACCTTCTCTATTGCCTTGTAATTTTGGCTTCATTTCAATTTCTTTAGATTTTCAAGTTTGTGGCTTCTGAGTTTTGATATGGACATGGATTGGAACTAGTAAGTGAAACCATTTATGCTCCCGGAGCACCTTATGGCCACACACCAAGTCAATGATGAAGCACCCTGTTATGAACTCCTGTATTTGTTCTTCAAAGAAAGATGTTACCTGGACTCTTGGAGCGCTTAAATCTCTTGCAGGCCCTTTATCGCATTAATGGAATTAGATTGTAATGTAATAATCATTATGCTGTAAGGTTTAAGTGATGTAATACATGCTACACTATTTGATTTTATGAACGAAATATATAATAAGGGGAGGATAGCATCAGAATTTCCAGATTCCTCTTAAAATTTAGAATCAGATGGAATATGATAATTATTACTTTAATAGTTAATCATGATTCATGAGTTTAATTATTCTCATATTAGTATAATTTATCATATCAAATATGTATTTATAGTAATAATTCATTTAATTACAAGTGAAGCACATAATAAGTGATTCTGTTAAAATATAGACTATGCTGTAGTAATCATCACTTTAAGCCAAAATCATGAGTGTAATGCCCCAAATAAATCATCAAGATATCACGATTTCATATATAGATTTGCGTCCATTATTTAATTTTATGATTTAAATTTAATCATATAATATGTGATTATATTAATAGAATTGCACAACTAATGATTTGATTGAAGAAGCTAGTATATAACAATTTGAGCATTACTAGATATGATTAGTAATTAAGATAATTATGGGATATATAATATTTTACCGTGAAAATTTAGGTAATCATACCTAGTAAGCAAATAATTATGCTAATTATTCGATTATGTCAAAATAATTATAATTGGTGCTATCATTACAAAAAATAAATAACTATAGTTACAATTAATATAAATTCTAATTCTAATTTATCATCTTATAGTGCTGAAGTGAGTCAAAGAAAAGAGACGTTGGGAACTAGCATGTAACGGTTATTATAGTTTTGACTATAATAAGGATTACGATGTAATAGCTATAACTGTAAGTAAACACTGTAATAGGCAGTCAACCTGTAATAAACATGTAATGTATAGCTATTACTGCTACCAAAATTTTTTTGTATTTTAGTGCTGATTGCCCAATTAAGGTGTCAATTCTTCGTTAAGTGTCGTCAACTATTGAAGAGAATTGAAGGCGTGTGAATGATTGCGCCAGCTCTTCGAGTTCTATTCGGTCTGATTAGATATGTCGCAGCTTATGCTCATGCATCAAGACCTAACAATCTTCACGATCACTTGTTAGCTGGATGCTGCTTATCCATTGTGTATTATCTAGATTGGAGGATTTTTGGAATTTTTGGTGCGTTTCTTTTGCGAAAAAAAAACGACTGTCGGAAAATCATTTCCTCATTTTGCCTCATTTAGCATCACTAAGAAAATGCACCAACAGATAATATTTTCATGCGCAACAATTGAACTTGTTACCTAACTTGAGATCCCAACTACAGGAGCCGAGTGCCGAGTGCTCAAATCAAGATCCCCGTGTCCGAACCCGAGTCCTTGCTCGCCCCGTGAGCTAGGACCTATGTCGTTGGTTCGTCCCCTCCAGAAAACGTGTCAAATAATTTGAAAAAAAATATAATGGATCGAGTCAATGCTAATAATCAATCCGAGTTCTTAGGATTGATATCGGTCCATCGGTAGATCACGGAATGTCGATGATCTTGTCTGTGTAATGATGGGGAGTCTGCTTCGACATCATCCACCCCGCATCTGCCTTACCATCATATACTTCAACAAGAATCCCACGATGATCTTCTCGTCTATGCATATAAAACATTGCAAAATAGTACAGTACTGTAATTATTACCACAAAGAAGGTTCTCAGATTGAAATACCTTCCGATTAAAAATCAGTTTCATAGACAAACAAAAACAGAGGTAAATCTACCAATTCCTTCGTGCATAGCACTGGCTATTTAGCTAGCTTTATAGAAAGAGATATGCAACATCGCATCATACCTATAGTGGTAGAACATTGCAAAGAGACTTAGAGCAACACGAGATACATTCTAAAAGACCTTGAATGAGACTCAATTTATCACCGTGTCAACTATAGTATACCGTGATGACAACATGCTGGCATGACAAACATTTTATACCCGAATCAGTACTAGTTGAACACAGCAGGGTTCTGCATTCTTTCATTGAGTCAACAACGAATGTAGCAGTATATGTTTACATACTCAAGACGACCTCCCTCTCATACAACATCAACCTCAGTCATTGGCATGGCAAACTAAAGAAGCTAACACTAAGAAGGCTAAGGACTTCCTTTTTTACAGGCAGAAAAGGACGGTCTTGAGGTGGTGTTGCATTGCATTGACAAAGAAATCAAATCAGAAGGTTAGCTCTCCAGGACTCGAAGCCAGGTCAGAGCCAAGAAATTGATCTAGCCCACCAATCCATAATCTCCTGAAGGGTAGTACTTTGAGGACTTCACTGACAGTTCAAAGCTGAAAGTAGAATTGACATCTGGAAGATTAGAACCAGATATTTGTACCACAAACGAGCAAATGCAAATAGATCACGAAAGAAAAATTCATGGTCCAATCCCAAAGTTTTTCTTATCAGTTCAATCTTAAAGTCTATGCACAAAACTTAAATAGACCCACTATGATAGCCTGGCATGATACTCTTTGTTCACCTTCCGCATGCCAGTTACCAGTATTTATGCCCTAAAATTTTAAGAGCCTAAGATATAAGTTTGTTAACTATATCCTGCTACACGTGATTTCAAAAATTACCTGACTGCCAAAATGCCTGTGGCCAACCGACTTATCAGCCAAAAATCATCACAAAGACCACTTGAAAAGCCATTTGCAGGTGAAACTTTCCTTGTATGAAGACTGTTAATGCACTCAACTGGTCAGGGGAAGCTATACTTGGAGGGAAGAAGCTCTGCTTAGACAGGCAGACCAAAACCTCATTCATCAATGCCACCAAGCCACAACTGAGGCCCACGAACGTGAAAGATATGAAGACACCATATCCTCTCAGTAAGTTCACCTAGAAATGAAGCATGAATTTTGTTCAAAGACAACTTTATTTTTTAGAACAATTAACACTTCGAGCAAATGCCCTGATCTGCAGGGAACAAAATCATCGGTTACATTTGGAGGACCTAAAGAGATATTATACGTGTGAGATTTATTGCAAGCACGATAAGACATTTGGAAACTAAACTAGGCCTTGCAGCATGAAGCCCATATGATGAGGAGCACGAGGGTTCAACTGGCTCTCTCGAATCATGCACTGGAAGGAATATTGTACTCCCCGAAATCACGTATATAAGCAAATAATTAACTGCATGCACAAGGAAGTAAGAAGAGATGGCTGCATATACTCACAATCTTTGTGCTCCTTCCTTTCTTGAGTGCAACTACAACACCTACAAGGGAAAGGTCACGCAATTGTTTAGATCAACAAATTCATAAAGTTATCTTTTCCTGGCTTTGGAAAGAAATCTAAGAGTAATGGATCTGAATGACTGGGAAAAAAAGTGAAGTTAGAATTACAAACCTTAGCATCGGAGAATCTTCTTTAAGCTGAATCTCAATCTGGCTCACGTAGAATCTGAACAGAGGTGACCTGCCAGGGTAACAGTCATTCTGAATCTCGCAAAAGAGGAGGCTTGACTTATAAAAAAACATTTTACCTAGTGAAGCTCAATAAATACAAAGATTATCAGTGTCACCATTCAGAACGTTAAGTGTGTATACTTTTCTGATAAAATCGCAGACAACGATAACTCGGAGATAAACAGTTTGAAGAAAAAGATGCTCAGATTACCAGGAAGGAATTGCGGCTGCTGACAGAGCAGGTGGTACCATCCACAGCAGACGAACTTGATCATCCAATATATTCATAAGATAATCAAGGATGCGACCTTCCTGCTTACATTAAAGCAACACTAAGCAACCCCAACTTCGATGGTAGTAAAAAGTTTAGTTTCTGGAACTACAGAAGAGGAGTAAGAACATCATGTGACAATCACACTGTCTCACTAATACCGAAATCGCATCATTTATATCCCTCTATTTCATTTAATGAGAACCAGAGGCCTAAGAGGCCAGTTTCCAGATTGTATTGTATGAGGAGGTTAATAACTGTATTGCTCTTATTTTTAAGGTGTTAGGGGGGGTGTTGTGATGAGATATAGGATTAAGGGAGGGCAGTGGAATATAGAAAAAAAAAAACGAATGATGATCCATATAAATAGTATCATTCCTATTATCAAGTTATTCATGACAAAGACTATTACTAACTTTATTGTCTGAGTTCAATCAAGTTGTATATCATAAGGCAATAGAGTTCAGCAACTTTTAAGTGGTGGTCAACCACAAATCCAATGGAAAATGGCAGATCAAGTGGAAGCAGCAGCTGTCAACAAACTATGAAGGAGCAGCTGCTGACCTGTAGTGATGATGTAACTGATAGGTCTCTTTCATAGCCAAAGCAACCGATTTCAATGACAAAAGATGATAAAGTTGAACAGCAGTCACACAATCTTTCATACCCAAAGCAACCGATTTCAATGACAAAAGATGATCAAGTTGAACAGCAGTCACACAATTGCAAAATATCGAAACTTAACCCAGCATTCACAAATTCCATGAATTAACTTGTTAGCATAAGCAGTTGACATGAAGATCTTACAAAATTATCATACCTTTGAGTGCACCATCTTCTCTTTTAAAACTAAATTTTGAGATCTTTCTGAAAGCAAGTTGCAAACTTCTGAAAATCTCTGTGAACTAGCGAAGGAATCACAAGCAATTGACTGAAGATGTTTGATTACTGAGCTCCATCTTCTGGTAACACATCCTAATAAAAGAAGTTCCTACAAAGAAGAGGAAAGGGAAGATCATTGCCAGTAAAAAAGGGAGGAAAAAGGCTCTGAGTCCACATTGATGTATTTTTAGTACTTTAGCTTCAAGAGGATGTTCCGCTTAAGGATCAGTCCATCATTCCTTCATATTTAATTATCTCATTATTAGTGAACAAGGAAAGATATTATCTAAATGGGTAAATAGATTGACCTTAAAATTTTGTGCATCTACGCAAATTTATGTAGAGATCATCTCTAGTCTTGAAGTGAATGATCCATAAAATGGATTAATTAGACAATATTGGAAATCTCAGAGAGCATGATCATTCAGGTACCAATAATCTGGCACTTCCAGAAGAGAGGAAAAACGTACTATTTTGTCAGACAATCTGCCAAGATTTCTCTCTTCTGACATATTCAGACGTTCAAAAACTTGCAACCACTGTGTTTGAGAAGCAGCAAATATCATGCTGGCACCAGATACCAGTCTGATAGTTCTCTTATCGACAAAATATGTGAGGCTCCTTGTTTTCCAGCGATACCAAATTCTTACCTCGTCCAATTGATCAGTATTCCTGAATGACAACTCAAATTTCTCAATGTGAGGCCAAGCTAAAGTCAGTGCTGCAAACTAGCAAGCAGGCGGTTTCAGGTAAAGCATTCAGCATCCATAACATTGGCATACAGACATTTAAACACACTGCACCTATGTAAAAGTTCTTTAACAGTAAAACCCAAGCACCATCTACTAATAGTCACCACGTAATGCAATCTAATTGCAAGAGCAGACGCACTCCACCTAATTTTTTAAGTTTGCTGAGCTGTGAAAATCCACAATGCCATGGTCTGCAGTCACCTAACATATTTTACGGAGATCTTTTCTCTGAATAGGGCAGAATAAAATTGGACTGCCTTGTCCAAATGCAATGGGTACTCTGTGGCTCATACATTGGCCCGATGTGATGGCTCCACCAGAAAAATAAGTTCTTCAAAGGAGGATGTAGTGATATGACTGTCCTAAGCTCAAGGAATAGTCAACTTATCCAAATAAAAAACAAAAAGTAGCAACTTAAACTAATGTTCAGATTTCTTCTTACCACTGATGTTAGGGTATGTAATGAAGCAATCAATTATTAAAGACAACAAGGAATTAACTGAAGGGTTTCAACAAACTTCCTGTTAAACTTTTAAACATCAACCGACATCTTTATCAAAAAAAAGAAAACCGCTTACATGCCACCCACCTTGAAGCTCCATCATGCGTTAGATGCTCCCTAGCAATGCTTTGGTCGCACAAAGTCAGCTGACTGCTACTTACAGCTTTAGAGATAACAGCCAAGCTTTTCTCTGCTGAAAATATACACGAAACGGCAGACTGCCTTTTCAGAAGCTCTTGGATGCAAGAGCTCGTCCCATTCTGCTTACCACGCTCTTCAATCTCATTATTTGCTATGTCAGCGTGATTAAAAGGTGAAAACTTCTCAGAACAATTGCCATCGTGAAGTGAGTCAAGAGAGGTATTCTGCAGGCTCAACGTGTCCAAGTATCTGCTGAGGCAATCGGGATCTTCTCGTGAAAGGACATCAAGATCCATCTGAACGGTTGAACAGAGAAGTGCTCTGAGATTTGAATCTCTTAATGGCAAGCTATGTACCAACTGCTCGAGCACGATGTCTCTAGCCCTACTCAGAGTAGCAGAGGATAGTTTTGCTAGACCCTGAACATTGGGAGAAAAATGCTGAGAATTTGCACACTAGCTTCAGGAAAAATCATTATAACACTCTCCAAAGGTTCACAGCTTGGAAAAACCATTTGTTACCTACAACCTGAGGGAAAGAAGCGTCTGCTACTATCACAGAGAGAGCTTTATCAAGTTCTTCCACGGACTCATCATAGTCCTCTGAACAGCTGAAGGACTTGAACACCTGATAGTGATTTTAACGAAATCATCGATCCCGCTACAGTTGCTAGAAACAAAAAAAAACTAAGGCCTAGTTCAGACTTTGAAGTAATAAGACAGGCTAATCCAGAATTATGATTATATTCATACTAGAGTGACTATCATTTGCTCAAGCAAACACGCTCTTTCAAATTTCTCACAGTGGCAACATTGAAAGGGTTGGAGGTTAAATTAAGTCGTGCATCGCATTGTTGAAGCTACAACAAACCCAAAAATTAAAGAGCGAGTGACAGAAGATTTACGAACTATAAAAACATCAAGACCCACAAGCATCAATCAGCACAAACCATACACTTTCTGTATCATTCACCCAGAAACGAGATCACTCAATTCGTCATCAGAGACTAAGAAATCAGCACGAGGGCGTCAAAAAAGAAGAAAAAGATACAGACATGTTCGAAGAAGACGCCCCATTGGAAGGCTTTGGTGACGTTCTGTTGGTCCCAGTGGGCTAAAAGGCCAGAAGACTGGTACCCAGATGCGAGAATCAGGATATCCGCGAATCCCTTCACCAGATTCACCATCTCTTCCAAGCTCACGTCCGGGTGCTTCCACCCCATTTTCCCGGAAAATTTGCAGAACCAGGTTTTCGCGAGCTTTCTCTCTCTCCCTTTTCTTTCACTTGCTAAGAGCAAAAGAAAGATGGTCTGGCGACGAAAGAGCCAGAAAGATCGGTTTTTTGGCTGACCCACTTGGAGCTTTTCCTTTTCTGTGGCAAACCAATAGAAGCCTTGAATTGAAAGTGCTCCCTCTTCCCGCTTCCAGATGTCCGCACACCTTTGGTCGATCACGCGACATTAATGGCGTCACTGGTAAAGAAAACATTTTCATGGGGTTTTTGAGTGATATCAGAGAAATTCCGTGAGAGCGCTAAACGTGTGAGACGATAGTACGAGCGAAAATGACACGGATAATCCATAAACTCTGCTCCAATATGTAATGTAGTCTCTAAATTTTTAGTACATGTTCAATCAATTCCTGATCTACTGAAAATTTATGAATCACATTACAAATTTAAATAAAGTTTAAGGACCACATTGCACAAATTAAAAGTTTAAGGATTATTTGTGTCATTTTCCTATATTACAAAGCCAACTCAATGGCCACTTCAATCTCAAACTTTTATCGAAAAGATGTTATAAAGTTTGTGACCATTTTAAGATGCAATGACGATACGACGTAAAAAAATAGACGAAATGATTTTCTTTTCCTCATTCTAAGAAGTTTAAATTTCAATTCGTTCCCTAAACTCAAAGGAAATATTTACTTTCCTCATTCATGTTTTTATCATTACAACATATTTATCGTAGAATTTTATGCGCCTTAACGGGGGTGGCAAATCATGAGACGATTCGTTGACATAAAATCAAACATGATACGAATTTACAAAAATCACATTTCGATAGAGCCTAGCACGGTAACACCAAAAGGGAAACTTTACGCATTCTCATGTGAAAATGCAATATTGTACACTTTTCTTGTCCTAACTAGAATCTTATGTATATAGCCTACCAAAAAGGAAAACGGAGTAGTGTCTGATATGTGAATGGCATGTCCTACTTCTTGCCGTGTCAACTCTGTTGATTCTGAGAGAACTTCCGCGGTTAGGCGCCGACAGAAGCCGTAGCCCGCCCCCGAAACTGCGGCGACATTGCATAAGCGGCAAGCGACGCTTCCTCTTCATCTTCATCTTCGCCCTGCTCGTCTTCGTCTATTTCCCATAGAAAACTAGCATATGCTGCTTGAACATGGCTGCGTTCGTGAAAGGATGATGACTTATGAGTCGGTATGTCCTCAGAGGCAGTCAAAGTTGAAGCGCAATGCAATAGATCAGTTGGCGAAATGTGCAGACACAAACCTGTCTTCAGGGGCAGCTTGAACAGCACGCTCGAAGTACGTCGACGCTCTCGGTTGGTCGCGATGGAGCTCCCATACTAGCTTCGCGTATTGCGACAGGATCTCGCCGTCTCGAGGATCCGCCAAAATGGCGCGAGCATAGTATTCCTCTGCTCTCTCCAGGTCTCCCTGTGTCTGGTAATAGAGACGTTGGCAAAATTTATTAGACAGGTCAGGAAATCGTGGCAAAGTAGCAGGAGATGTTCTTCAATAGGAATTCCCGAATGATTGTCGATTTAGAGTCGAGCATTCGTCCAAATTAACCATCACCGTGCGAGGCGTGATAGAGTTCGATTTGTTACTCAATAATTTGCATCTTCTTTCTGATTAACCCGCGTCGGCGGATTTAACTGACGTGATAACTGCACCAATTGCCAAATATTCAAGAACCTCGTATAGCATAACCTTAAAAAACCCAAAATAACGAATAACGAATAGGTTCGTGCAATCGTGGTAAGATGATATTAGTTTCTGCAACTGATTCATCAGAATTTCCAAGAAGAGCCAGTGATTATATCACCTGGAAAGTCCTAGACAAATTACTCGTTTTGAGAAAAAGGAGTACTGGGTGATGACTGGTGAGAACTGTTATGCCATGTAAATCTCAACATTTCACAAATTGAAATCATCTGACACGGAGAATACAGGAAGTGACTTGTAATTTACCTGATAGAGAAATTGAGCATAGTTTCTGAGAAACAAAGAGTTGTTAGGACTCTCCTCCACCATTTTCTTATAATGCTCTTCAACCCCCCGATTATTTCCATCATCGGCTCCGTCGTCCGACGAATTAGACCCCCTGCCGCCTCTGCTGCCGCCGTCACCGCCCCAATCGCCTCCGCCGCCGAGCCCTATCGCTAGATGCATTTGTTGCCTGACCCTCTCTTGGTTCGCTTCGAAACCGGACTTCTCATTCATATTCACACCACCAACGCTGCTCACCTCCTCCTCCGCAATCAAACTCATACTTTTACTCCCCCTGAACTTCACACTACTCTCCACCAACGATGCCTCTTCATATTCTTCGTACTCTTCTCCCTCCTCGATGTCGAAATCGCTGTTCTCTTCGTCCTCGTCCTCGCGGCCATGCCCGTTCCTATGAAACGAGAAAGACGGTATCGTCTCCAACATCATGCCTCGAGGCCGAACCGAGGGCTTCTTAGCATGGCTCGTGGCGCGGAACTGATCTTCACTGCTGCTCAAGGGAGACATGTTGAAGGCCAAGCCTTCCAAGTTGCCGTCTGATTGGGCTCGCCGGAAGCCGCCGGCGCCGCCCTTGCGTTGGTTGGGAGCGTCGCCCAAGTCGTGCACGGAAGGAGAGGTGGGGGAGGAGTTGCATGAGATGGTGGCGAAAGTGAGGGACCCTTTCGGGTGGAAAGAGAAGCCGTGGTGGCTATGGAGGCCGGTCTTGCGCGACGCCGCGGCGACGGCGGCGGGGGCGGCGGCCTCGTGGTGGCTGTGAAGGCTTGGGCTGTCTGAGAAAGAGGAGAGGAGAGACCCAAGAACTGGGGTGGAAGAGCTCCTCAGCAGCATTCTTCCTCTTCTCCAAGAAACTGGGGAAGCAAATGGAGGAAGCGCTCACAACTTCTAAAAGAGGGATAAGGCAAGGAAGGGAAGATTGTCAATCAATTGATGAGGGAAGACAGGCTAGCTAAGAGCTACCACTTTCTTTTATATGGAGGGAGGGAGATCTCATTTACCCTTTTTCCATGAATTATTTCATGTGATGATGATGAGAAAGAGAGGTTATGTGGTGGAGGTGGGTGGAAAGGGATGTGCCTTGGGGGCACGATTGCACCGAAAAATATCAAGTGGGGGGGCTGGGAGCTCCCCCCAGAAAGAAACAAAACAAACACAAAAGGCAAAGGAAAAAATAAACAAATAAAAAAAATTTGGGATTGGAAAATTTAGTATATGAGAATTTCCACTTCTATGTTTTACCAAGTGTCGCAATTTACATTGATCCGGATCTCCAACTCTAGCGCATTGAAAGTTTTAAAACTTATCACAAAAGTGTAATCGAGTCTTGAAACTTTCAAAAGGTGTAATTAAGTCTTAAAACTTATCATGAAAGTGCAATTGAGTCACAAAACTTTCTAAATGCGCAATCAACAAAAAGACTTGATTGGACTAATTCGATAAAATTTAGGACTTGATTGCGCTTTTTGAAAGTTTGATAACTCAACTGCACTTTCGCGATAAATTTTAGGACTCAATTGAACTTTTGAAAGTTTTAGGACTCAATTGCATTTTTATGACCCGTGTTAGGATTTCCAATGCATTTATCTCTGTAAAATAATACATTACGTTCTCAACTAGCCTTCATATGCTCGTAAGAATTCTCCGCGGGCCTCGTGCGATCGCCGCCTTCCGCCAAGCATTCCGTGTGTAGAAGAGAGTTAAAAAAATACGGAACCCATCGTCATATGACGGTTCAAGCTTTTACGTAAGCGCTGTCGTATTGTCCGGATCTTTCATCGTTCGTTCCGGGACGGGGATGCTCGCTTCGTGGAATTTTGAACTTTCGCCAACGTGTTAAGCGGAACAAAAAAGGCATCTTTCTTTCTTTCCCCCAGGACATTCTCCAGCCGTGTGAAGACCCCGGATGGCAGATGGGGAAGTTTCGGAAGCATATGCAACGTACGTTGGATGCTTGGCTGTCTGTCTTGAGTTCTGATGTTCATGTACACCATACTTGCCTCAAATTTGGGCCAGTTTGGTTGGGCATTTGAAAGCTACTTTGGGGCTCTAAAGTCTCTTCCGTAAATGCAAACCTGTTTGGCAAATATTTTGGCAAGCTTTGAGGAGATACAATTGCATCTCCAAAACCCTCTAAGAGACTTTGGTTGAATGGAGGGATGGAGGAGCTTTGGGGACTTGCATTTTCGAAATGCAATGTGCACTGTTCACGTGTACTGTTCATCTTCCCGACTGAGACCGGCGACCACCGCCTGAGGGGTCCGGCCACCGCCGCCTGGGGCCGGCCGACGTCCGGCCAGATCGCCGCTCGGGGTCGGCCGACCCAGCGACCGCCGCACAGGGGTCGGCGCTACCCGGCGACCGCCGCCTGGGGTCGGTCGACCTCGAGCGGCCTTTAGGTCGCGTGACCCGGATCTGGGTCGTGCGACCTAGGCGCCGCCTTAGGTCGGCCGACCCCAAGCAGCGGTCGCCGGGGTCAGCCGACCCCCAAACGGCGATCACCGGCCTCGCGCAACCCAGGCGAGGCCGCCTGAGGTCGCGCAACCCTCCGGCAGCAATCGCCGGGGTTGCGCAACCCAGGCGACGCCTGAGGTCGCGCGACCTCAGGCAAGGCTAGCCAGCCGGCCATGGCTCTTCCTTCTTTGCTTTTTTTTTTTTAAATATTAGCAAAAGTTATTCACAAAATTAAATTTTACCAAACGGTATTTAGATCAAAGTTGCTTTCAAATGTGATTTTAAAATACTCGTTATCAAATATTATTTGTATTTCGAAAAATCTCTTTAGCTCAAAGGTATTTGTATATATGCAAATGTATTCCCTAAAAGTCGAACCAAACATGCCCGAAATCTCTTCAGACAAACAAGAGAGAGGGAGAGCGAGACAAAAGGAGGGGCCAAGGTTGACCCGACCACCACCAAATTCTTTGTTTCACGTTTTTCTTTGCCTTTTGCCAGCTCCTCCTCCCCGCACGTCCGTACACGTGGCAGAGGCCAGGACTTTCGTGGGTTCGCGCCACGTGTCCTTTGGCTCGATGGAAAGAGTTACCTGTCCTATGCTCAAGACAAGTTTGTAACTTTCACTCCCGTGGAAAAACCAATTGGGGAACGCAAAATGGAAGACAAGTTTGATGGGGAATTCGCTCGATCAATCTTAGATTCATAATACGGATGTGAATTCAATTATAAATTTTTCAATTTTTATCGATTTAGATCTAAATATTTACTCAAAATTTCGATAATTTCCACCGGAAATCGGAACTTTGATCGACACAACTTACCATTCTCTAGTTACTGGCACGGCA